ATTATACGGTATTACTTAAACATCTTTAAGCATTTTATGGTTAATTATACATGTAATAACATTGCAATTATACCCATAGGCAAAACTTGTATTATTACAGTGCTTATTTCTCTTAATATTTGCATAGTTCTGTTCGTAGAAGTATATAATATATGTACTGCAAGAGTTTAAATATGGTTTAGCATAAATCTTACCAAAATAATAGTGAAGTATCTCAAACCTAAAATATTCTGTGAAACAAAGTTTAGCATACGGTATACCAATCAAAATATATTTTGCCATTGTTAAATTAAATATTTTTCTTGATGATTGGAGGTGGCACAGGCCAGTTTTTTTTCCTCTATCAAAACGCTTGCTGGAGATTCTCCATAATAGTGAAGTGTTTGTTGATCGATTTTCATTGGAAAGTTTTAATCATTCTCTCAGTCAAAATAAAACTAGTTCTTGCTCTTGTCCCTTGACAAGTGAAATCATTCAGGAATAAAACAAATTGTGCCTCTTTTTTGGCCGACTTGTTTCGCATTCTCATGAAGCAGAATTTATTCAAAAACTTTTAATGAAAAGAAGTCTCTATAGCCTTCAATTAGAAATGCTGTATAGATATTTCAGTCAATGTTCATAATCATTTATACTTTGAATCGATATATACCACTTTAAACTCGAAAATAAAATACACCAAAGAGTCCGACATATACAGTTCAAAGAAAAACTTCTTAGTGAGGTTTAGTCTTCTGTATTTGACCCTAAATATTTTATTTTGTTTGAATTAGAACTGTTCCAGCGCAAGGAAGGTGTAAAGGCTACATTTCGTCTGAGAATCTCTCTCTCTCGTACTTTTTGAGTTCTAGCATCCTGCTTTATAATACATGTACACATAAATCGTTTTCTGTGAAATACTAAACAAGCACACAAGTTATTAACATCTTTCAGTATCTTCTGATGAGCACAAAAGAATTTCGCAAACACGTACTGGACCTCCAAAAACATCAAAGATAGGATCAAGTGCCATGGAGAAGTGAGCATCCCCTGCTGACCGGTCACACCCGCCGTGTGCTCCTTGTCATGATCGGGAAAAACGGAAAAATCCGTAGACAATTCAGTGCGTAAAAAATGGCCTAAAAATTTGTATGAAAAAGAAACGTCAGTCAGGATTTGACTTAATGATAGGTTGTATTTGCTGACAAGGTTATTGTATCAACCATAAAACTTGCGAAATGATGACTTCAAACGAGACTGTTGTTATCCTTGTTTTATCAACTTGTTTTTAATAGCTTGCCTCGTTTAAGAAATTGTTCATAAGTAGAGCATGCTCTTGCGTATTGAAACAACTGGGAGATTGATTGATTGATTGTATGTTTTTACGTCCCGTTCGAGAATTTTTCACTCATATAGAGACGTCACCATATACCGGTGAAGGGCTTCACATTTAGACCTTTACTCGGCACTCAGGGCCATTGAGCAGTGAGGGTACATTATCGTGCCAACGCCTACTGTTACACGGGGTCTCGGTTTTTCAAAAGGTCTCATCCGAATGCCAACTTTCACTTCAAAGTGCTGAGCGCTTGGCGAGGGAACAGTTGCTACCTATTTTTTTTATCGTCTTCGGTCAGTCGCGGCCGTGATTCGAACTTCCGATCACGGAGCAAGCGCTCTACCGGCTGAGCTACCGCGCCGGTGTTAATTGGGAGACAAAAACCCCATATGCAGGTGATAAGGGTATATTGCTATATAAGTAAGGGAAGTTGACGATTGAAAAATTGAAGTCATCATGTTTATCATACATGTAAAGCTTTGTTGTTAGGTAAACATTAAAGTCTTTTTCTATCAAAATACAAATATGAAACAGATTTATCTGACTCTATGGTATTTTTTTAATAAATTCTACTTCATATGAATACAAAAATAGGTCTGCTAACAAGGGGGCGCAGTTGGTAACCATGGGAATTCCAACAGATTGTTAAAAGACCTGATCTCCAAAAACTACATAGATATTGTCAATCAGAAACTCAAGCATCTTTTTAATATTAACTTTAGAGTACTTGTGTGTACAATCAAAATGCTAAACAAAATAATTTTGAAAATGACCATTGACAAGGTAAGACTTAGTATATTTTCAAGTTTCATTTTATTGAAAAAGCAGCTGTCAGTGATGTCAAAAAACCTGCACTTTAATTTATCGCGGGGAATGGCTGTATAAAGTGTTGAAAAGGCGAACGTTTTGATGTTATTGATTTAGTTAAAATTTCGTGATTTCAAATGTTCCAAAAGTTCCTTTGAGTTTATAAGTATCCACATCTGATTTACACCACTTCTCGAATATACTGTTGTACAGTACTCCTGAAGTTTCTCCTTCACTGCTGTAAATATTTTAGTGAGGAGTGAAGAATGGGGCTTGGTAGAACATTTTATGGAACCCTATGTATCTAAGTAAGGATTTTTAAGGGATTTGGAATCCAGTATAGATATGGTAATTCAAATTCATTTTGAATCCTGGGAATATTAAAAATATTTAAAACTGACACATGGTTTTGAAGAATTTCCTTCGTAGAAAGGGAGCTATGGGTATAAGTTGAATTACCACTTGCTGAGTTAAATCCTGGTTCCTCTAAAATATTATTCAAATAATGAGCCTTACAAACAAAGACAAAGTTGTTACCTGCTTTGTCAGCGGGGACCAGCACATACTGATCGTGTTATCTGTCTAATAGATAGATGGTTTTCATATTGCCCCTAAATCGCTTAATGCGCGATTTCAACATCCATCTGATACATTTAATCCATTCTGACAAAATGCCAAAGTCTTCTTTTTCATATTTAGCTCATCGTCTTTTATACTGAAATCATAATATTTATGAAATTATGACGCCAGTTGAAAGATCGGGGTTTCCTAAACTTATGACACTAATGGCAAACTAAAACCTAAACGGGATTTCAACTTTTCTATCGTCAACTTTGAGGCAATAAACCATTATCACCTGCCTATGGTGTTTATGTCTCCCGGTTGATTCGATACGCAAGTTTCTTAAACCTAAGAAGGCTATTGTCGAATAAGTTGATGTTAGAAGAGTATCAACGGTGTTGAAAGTCAACATTTCAAAAATTCTTTGGTCGATACAGTGACACTGTTTGAAAAAACAACCTGTCTTTGAATCAAATGTTGACTTACATTTTTCATACAAAGTTGTTAGCCATTATTTTCCTGCTGATTTGTCTACGAATTACTCCAATTAAGCGATAAAGTCAAAGGGTTTATGGCGCGTATGGTCATTTGAAGGAGACTTCTCCACGGCACCTTATTTCACCTCTTATGATCCCAGAGGTCTTTTTGTTCAAGATCTGCTTTCAATTTGAATGTTTAATTGGATTTTTTCAGCTTGATTATTGTTTGTTATCTTCATATTTCATTCTCAGGTACAATTTACGGAATGACTCAGGAATAGTCTCAAGTCCATGCTATTTCATCCTTTTTTCATGATTACACCATGCTGTACCAGGTTCCAGGCTTGTGCAATTGCCCTGCGCTACTATTGTATAATGCAAACCAATATCCGTGTAAATCACTGATCAGCAAGAGCTCTTGTGTCATTCAAATTCTTTTCCAGCTGCATTTTAATCCAAGAATTACCTAACCACCGTGCTTTTCTGGAGGAAATCCTGAAATTGCTAGTTTTTGGTAGTTTCGTTATTTCTATGAATGATAGTTTGACACTCAAGTGTCATTTATGAATAAAATGTTAATAGAGTACCACTACTCTTCAAAATTCTAGCAATTATGAACTCACACCATAGGTTCCCAGAAAGTTTTCAAATATTTAACGGTACATTGTTCGCAAATATTCTATGCCACCTTATCACTTTTGTCGATCATTGCGTACCAGACATGGGACCAGACTATTTCGTTATTTTTTAAAAATACATTTAAGTTTACTTTTTGGTAAATTTGTTCCTTGTTGAATAAAGCGTTTTCTGTATTATTGTGGACGTTTTTTTTTTTATATTTCTGCAGCAAAAACAAGTACTGAATTTTAGAAAGAATGGGATGGGTGGTAGCTCAAAGTTAATTGAAAGGGAAAAGGGAGATAAAAAGGGGAGAATAGGGATATAAATATAAGCCTGCTTTTTAATTTTTTAAAAAACTATAAATATTGGAAGTTTAGTGACGATTGCTTTATTGCAAATTCATGAACTGGATACTTAGAGATTACTTAGCTTTCCCTCAGAAATATAATTTCAATTTTATCTATTTTTGGCAGAAAAAGAGGGGGGGGGGAGTGGGAAGAGGAACCACAACTCTCAGCTATTTTGATTGTCTTCTCTGCATTTGCGATTGGGTCAAGTCGGTTTATATCGTGTTTGATGGGTTTTAAAATGCTTGTAAGAAGATTTCTAAAGTTTAGAAAAGAAATGGATATAAGCCATAAAAAAGTCATAAGTTTATGGCAGTGTACGAGATGATGACGAAAAATTACCTCATGTTCTTGGACTGTCTGAGTATCATATGCATGTATGGAAATGTAATAATAATAATAAATGATAACATGTTGTAGTAGCCATACACTTTTATATATAGCATTCCTTTTAACTGAAATAGTACAATATATTATTGTTGAAATGAGCAATGTCATTTACAAATTGTTATACAATCCATTGGCATATCTTTTCCTTATTATTGTAATAATTTCATACTTGTCTGTTATGGGCTCTAAATTAGAAAATAAATGTTCTGTTCTGTTCTATTTTATATCAATCTAACATAAATATTTAATGATTTTAATATATATATATAATATGTATAAACAACAGATATATATAAAAGTACAGTAATTAAGTTAATCTCGGGTTTGCAAGCTATATCGCCTGATCTTATTTAAACAAAAAACACGTACGATTAAATAGTACCTTGACAGTGCCCCGGTTTTTATTTTTCGGCTCAGCATGTATTTTTCCCATGTTCAGCGGTATATAGAATTAATCTAGGTCAAGCAAAGTTTCCCCCTGCGAGGCCTTCATTATGTCGTTGTTTATATGCTAGCGGAGCTGCTGGCGAATCGATCGGCCATAAAACGTGGAAATATCCCTCTTTTCAGGCACGACAACCCATTTCCAAGATGCCGACCACCCCAGAGCAAATGACCAGATATGAAAAAGTGAGTAAATTTATTTACATACTTCTTTTTTTCGTCAAACATGAATCGGTTCGTGTTGGATAATCTCTATGACGTCCCTGATCATAAGTGTAATCTAGGTCATTTTATGTAAAGACTGAGTATGGAAAACTTTGAGGATATATCAATTTCTTAATATATAATGTCTTTATTTTCTTTTTTAAAAGTTTACATAAGAAATTCTATGAAATTCTGAATGTGCGATGTTTTCTTTACAAGAAAGCATTTGGATGTATTCCAAAACAAGTAACGCATTAGCTTCTGTTTTGACTGCCGACGTAACAGTGTCCAATCATGTAGATTTCAATTACGCTGAAGAAAGAGTCTTTCTACACAGGAGTGGTCAGAATATTTTAGTAGGAGCCTTTTTTTATGTAAAATGTAAAAAGAGTTGAAACGAAACGAATTGTTCTCGTAATCTGATTGGTGGATATATGGGTGTGTTGCCTCAAGGTCATACAAATCAAATATGCAGAAAACAACATTGGGGATCAAAATGGGTTTTTGTGTAAACACGAGAAAATTAAAAAAAAATAGTTGTTTTTATATATACATTCGAATCGCAATTTTAGTATTCATGAATGATTGCGAGATGTACTTTCTATTCAGGACAAATGATTTATTTCGAATAAAGAAAACATATTAATTTCTCTCCTGTGTGTATTCACTGTGGTAATTTCTTCAATACTTACCACTTTATATTGTGTATGTAATTAAGTTAAGGTTTAAAAATAAAGAAAGTAAAATTATCTGATAATGTTTACAAACTTGATTGCTGCAAAACCTTTTAAAGTTACACGTTTGTCCTTATATTATGCATTTAAACAAGTTTAATAAGATATGTATTAAGTACGATCCTATTAAATAAATAAACATGACCATCTTTCATATACATTGTCAGTGGTGTTATTTGTAACAATTTTTAGAAATTTTAAAATAACTTTAGAATGTTAATTATTACATGTACTTATTATTTATTTTATACATGTACCACGATGTGGTAGGCTTGTTCAGAAATAATACATGGACGCCGACCTTGTTTCCCATTCAAAACCTTGTAAATAGCCAATAAAATTACTATATTGTCCTTGATATGAATCTGTGGACAAAGTTTTGGGAGATATTTTCATGCTCACACCTGAGTATGTACATGTTTCCCAGCCCCTATGTCCGACAGGTAATTGACCACTGACCACCAACAAGCTTACAAAAGTCTACTTTCGTAAGGCTCTCCCTAGAAGTAGGTCAATTCGCGTGCTGACCTCGACACTTCGCAATAGCCACATGTACGTATAATAACTAAGTACCAGTCTTCCTAATTGTTATAGCACGGCACAAGCAAGAAAATGCCTCAGAAATTTCTTCCTTTCTGGTATAAACTAGAGCCAAGCAGTTCTGTTAAATGCGTCTCTGACAGCTTGTTTGTGTATTCAAAAATTTTTGCATAAATACTTTATTCTGTCTGTAATAATGTGTCACGAAATATTAATTCTTTTAAAAGAAGTTACCTGAAATGACAAAAGTAAATCTTTAATTCGCGTCTGGACTAGCCTGCAAAGAAATAGAATTAATTAACTTTTTCTTGATATAATTATGACAATTTTTTTATATTTACTTTTTTGACCATTTTTCCCTAATTGTTGCGATCATTTGCACGCGTTATGGGCTTTTATTTACCTTGATCCCACTGTATGTGTCAAAAAAATTAGGGCAGATATTTAATTTTTTTGAATTGGATAGCGTGGATGTGTTACTACATAGGAGTAAAAATTCCTTGGAATGAAAAACTTTTTTAAAGGCAACAGATTTTTTTTTCAAAACATGCATCTATTTTAGACGCGAAATGTTAATTAAGCCGACGCTGCAGTTAAATAATTTGTCTGTCATGTTGTCCCCAGTGTGTAATTTCTTAGCCGTCAACTGGCGTCTCAAGGACTAAAGGACAACTACCATATTAATATCATTTTTTGACAACTTGCAGTTTTGCAATTGTTTTAAATATAAACAATAAAGTTTACATAGGTTCACAACAATATGTAGATTTTATCATGTTTTGCTCGATAAACTAAATTTTGAGCGAGCTTTTTTTTGTGCGGAAGGGGGGGGGGGTCAAAAATTTTAAAGCTCTGTAAAAAATGGTCTTCTTTTCCGAAATGAGGTGTTATTCTATTTTGGATGAACATTATCTAGATTTGATATATCTCTTATTCATTCATAAGCTCATTTTTTTTTCCATTTAGATTTACGTCGTCTCGTTTAAGCTGCATTACAGTTGCTAATAATAACTATTTGGCAATTAATGCAGCTTTTTTCTGTACCTCTTACAAAAAATAGATACATGCATTGCATACTGAGTAACATGTGTTTTATATGCCACGTTCATTTAGTGCAGTATGCTCTGCGATAAGATTAAAAGTCGAATCACATTATTTTCGTTATGTTTATAGGTCGGAAACATTCCTTGGAAAACAAGAGTATTTCATTGTATCGGAAAAACCACACAAAGCAAGGAAAAATGGGAATGGGGGAGAGTAAATGTTAAAAGTACAACGCCTATAACTCCGTCCTTTTATAGTGTTAGGCAAGCCCGCCTACCATCCCTAAACTACACAAAAATTGTATATCTGACCTCTTGTCTCTTTGTACTTTGGAACTGGGACCCATATGTTTTCCGTGTAATTTTCAAGTTTTAACCCTCGCATTTTATCATCTTTAATATTTCTCTTTTAGCCCCACAATCCCCGAAACCAAGAAACTCTCGTACCATGGATATTTAAAAAAAACCCACTCTTTTTTCTAATAATCTGAAGAAAAAAAACTCATCTGTGTCTTTAACTGCGTCTGCCTTTGAAATCTAATTTTTATTTTGTCCCATATAACATTACAATCCGTTCACTCCTTCTTCGAACTTTCCCGGCGGAGCGAACAAGCTGTGATAAGCTCATTATGTTGTAAATTGTCCACAAAAAAATATTTATATCTTTAAAAGTTTTACAATCAAAAGGTTCATGGGGAGTTTATACAAACCTTTTATCAGGGGACAGATAGGTTAACCCAGTCAGTGTTTAAGAGAGTATTTGTCGGATCTTTAAACACGTTAAACTAGAATTCTTATAACGCTTATAGTCTGTGCTCAGTTTTATTGTCTCTTCAAATGTGATACATCTTTGGAAGTATGTATGCATAAAACTCGTAATATCAGTTGAAATCTACGATCCCTCTTTCTGCTCCAAAAATTATTTGGAAATATCACCGAAGGTGGTTATCGTGAAAGGAAGCAGGGGATTTTTTGGGGTGGGTGGGATCAAGTTCGGGAAAGGGTTGAAGGGAAATCCCTGGGGAGGGGAGATTTACAAGTCACTCAATATGATTAAAACAAGATATGGATTGCAAATATTGAAGGATTAAAAACGGGTCGTCGAAGAGTTGCTGGATTGTATTAGCTATATATGTAGGTTGTCAGTTCGAAATGAATACAACGTCAAAAAACAAAAACAAATAATATCACAATCACAGGCACTTGTGCAGCTTGAAAGATTGTTTTGTTCCTGGAATCCGGATGTTGACACCACTAATATCAGCAAATAAGATTTCTTTCCATTTTCATTCATGCTTTTGTTGTTGTTGTTAACAGATTCATCTGTTACAAAATCTTCAATGCAAGCACTTGTTTTGCAACACAGATGAAAATGAATTAATGTATATACGTCTATCGAGATCATTTTGATAGTAAGGCTGGAAAAATGATGCAATATTCCCAAGGATAAGAATTTTCTTCGCGATAAAAACCACGCTCTCTAGACGTTGTTGCTCAAACGCAATACTAGTTCTCTGCCGTTTGAATCAAAAACATGGACACTCATAGTAAAGTCAGTATTAAAACGTGCGTTGTATTAAGTAAAAAAGCATACAGTTATATTTTCCATCTTGATAAAATATTGATTGCTTCTTTACAAATTAATTTTCTGTTTTCAGATCGAATCCGTCATTAAGGGGTTTAAATTGTCGTCACTGACGTATAAGAGGGTCATGCACTTACTTCATGAGGAGATGAAAAGGGGACTTTGTCAGAAGTCCCACTCCCGGGCAGATATAAAGATGTTCCCCACTTTTGTCAGGGCTCTTCCAGATGGATCAGGTTAGTTTCTACACTGTACACTAGATATGCACATATTAGAGTCTTGAGATCATTTTAAATTTTTTTTTCTAAAAAATAAATAAAGTTAGCCAGTGAAGCAATTATCTACTAGTAGATTTATGTTTTTTTAAAAATTCTTCTTGATTGTTTACCAACAAAATTATATTCCTATTGGATATCGAAATTGCTTTCATCCCCCTCCCAAATAAATTAACTGTTTACCATAAGCACCCCTCCAATAAACTGTTTACAAAAGATCTGTATAAAGCAGTAGACACTTAATATTTTTATTAAAAAACAAACAACAACAACTTTAAATTCTGTCTGCAGTATAAAAGTAATGAATTCAGTTTTAACCTGATTAGGTTGAAAACAGGTACTGAATTATTAAAACATGCATATTAAGCCAAGGAAAATTTATTTCACCTCGTTTCATAAATATATATACTAGGTAACTTTCAGGTTTATTGGTGACAAAATACATTAAAACTTGCTTTCTGCACACCTAATTATAGCAAATACCGATTAAAGCGACATGGTTTATTAATCAGAGAAAACCCATATAGAAATTAATGATAGAGCTGAATCATTAGAAAAAGTATACAATTTACTATCAGGATAGAGGTTTTTTTATGTAATAAATATGATGTTGTATTAAACAGAAAAAGGCAGTTTTCTGGCCCTGGATCTTGGAGGAACAAACTTCCGGGTTTTGCTCGTCAAACTGAATGGACGTGACGTAGATATACAAAGTAAAACATACCTCATTCCACAAAGAGTCATGCTAGGCACCGGTACCCAGGTAAATTACGTAAATTTTGACATTTTGAGATTCCCCTTTTGAAAAACAGCAGGGCCATAGTTACTCAGGCGAGCGTTGTGCCCCATGAACCTCCTGTTTTAATTGTCCTGCCAGTTACTTTAAAACTTTTTGAAATAAATTTGGTCGTATTTTGTGTATTAGTTTGACATATTTCTGTTTGAACGAGTTTTGAATATGACCAGTATGGCCAGTAGGAAACATTGAAGGGGGGAGGGGGGCACAACCAAACATTTGCAGTTAGGGTGGGCACTACCAAGCAAAATTTCCTTGACGAAAGAAAAGGCATCAGACTAATAACTGAGGGGGCACATCGATAAAGTAGCTTTATTTTTCTATCAGGTCTATATACTGAGTTTTTCCAGCCCCATCCTCCCTGGTTCCTATGGCCATGCTTTGTTTCGCTCGAGATCTCCCGAGTTTTTACGTTGTCAGCAAAAACTTCGCACGATGTTTTCGTAGTTGTGTGACATATTTCCACTTTACACAAGGTCACAGTTCTTGTTTGACAGTTGAATGCCTCAATGTTTACACAAATTTATCATTTAAAGAGTACATTCATAATTGCAATACGATATAGTTAGTAGGTTGCATTGCGCGTCATAACAACTGTCAAGTGTTTTTAAAGGTATTAAAGTCGGAATGCCCGAAGAACAATGCAAACCAGTTAAAGTTTTAAAATACATGTACTAGTATTTCTAGTTCTGTTGGCATCGTGTTGTCAAGAGGTGTTTAAACCTGGTGTACTTGTAAGATGGCCGTGAAACCATTTGTTTACTGTCACTACATGTAGATAGGATACAACTTCTGTATCGGATAAAGTAAAAGGACAATTTTGAAAGTGTTTGCGTCAAATTCCAGCAATTTTTCACATGTAAAATCGCTATCATCAATTTTTGTTTCGTGAGATCAAATTGATTTAAGAATGTTTGCTCGTCAGCCAGGAGCAATAACTCTTAAAAATAAATGTCTTAAAATAAGAAGATATCGGTGATATTTTACTATGATATAACATGCTTTATCAAACATTTGAGGTTCAGAGAAGAACTAAAATACCCCATTAGTATAAAAGAAAAAAAGACATGCATTTTTTTCCCGATTTTTTATACCTCTCTTAAATCCTACTTTAAATTTGTTTATTAATTTTCAATTAGGAAATGTAAAATTAATGCTTTTATTCACAATTCCTCAAAAATACATTTGAAGTCTTAATAATTTTCCCTTTATAACTATAATGATGAATTTTGAAGAAATAACATGGTTAGATACCATTACTTGTGAATTCAGTTACATTTTTGTGAGCATTTTCAGTCACTTAATTGCTGAATTTTAGAACCTTAAAAACTTTTCAAAGGCGTGATAATTGAACTTAATGAGTTCCTTCCACTATAGTGTTTGAACCCCAGCCTCTCAGACACGTTCATCAATGAACCATTCAAGAACTATGTTATCTTTTTTTACAGTTATTTGATCACATAGCCGATTGTATCAGAAAATTCATGGACGAACATGATCTACGGAACCACAAACTGCCTCTGGGTTTTACGTTTTCTTTTCCTTGCAAACAAGAGGGTCTCGCCAAAGCTCGTTTATCACAATGGACGAAGGGCTTCCGGTGCGAAGGGGTCGTAGGAGAAGACATTTGTCGCTTATTGCATGAAGCACTGCACAGAATCAAGGTAAAGGAAGTGCATTAAAGACTTCTTTCTTAGTACTTTATAAGTGTATTAATATAATTTGAATATACTTTACTTCTTACAGTACATATGACTATGTATCCACTACTTGAATGTACGATGCAGACATTATACACTGTAAATAGGCTTATAGGCACATGGGGACAAAAAAATAAATTATAAAATGCATATAGCTAAAGCGTGATATATATGTCTTCGTAGGCAGAATAAGCAGACGACAGCCATGTTCTTCATGTTGCACCTTGACCCGAGTGTTTCTATGTAAACACATTATCTTCATTTGCTTAAGATTACGATTATGCGACATTGAAGAGTACAATTTGCCTTTTAATTATTTCTGTGATGTTTTCTGGAGGGGGAAAATCAATTGCTATTCGATTTTTGCAAGGTTAAAAACAATGTAATAAATTCTCTCCCAGACAGGAAACAGAGAAAAATCTGTCTGGTATAAGAAAGGGAATAGAAATGAGATATGGTAAATAGTGTATAAAAGTGTTTGAGAGACTTGAAAATAATTATGGGTCTGTAAAACTAGCCCCGGGTGACCTAACCAATCCTTCGCCTCCCCTCTTCGATCCGTCACATATTGTTGAGTTTCCTATCACGCCATATTGCTATTTATAAAACAGGAAACGAAATGTTAAAAAAAATGTTCTGGAATAGGTATTTGGACAAAATTAAAATGGGCCTCACTGACAGGCGGGCCAAATAGCCCAGAGTCTTACGTTGAAACCACATTAATTCAGACTATTGAAATATTCTTGATCGTTTTGCAAAATTTTTGAATATATATTTTTTCCTTCTTCTAAGCATGATTATGTACAATTAGGAAGATTTCAGGGTACACATTTAAGAATGCGTTCTGTGCTTTTTCAGATTACTAGCGTTGAAGTACTTGCTGTTGTCAACGACGCTGTCGGAACCCTCATGTCGGCAGCTCACAGTGACAGGCAGTGTGAAATCGGTCTTATATTAGGTAAGAGCATAATAGTTTACAAAAAAAGAGAAAACTTTCTGGCGAGACAGTTCATGGAAAAATTTGACAGTAGAGAGATGTGTATGTCTTGGCCCCATTTCATTCCATAAAATGTCCTTGTCTGTCCTAACTTCGATCCTTGAAATGAGACCGTATAAACCGATGTCGAGAACTGAAAGTTAGGTCTTAATAATAAACTGCCGTAGAAAACATTTTGCACAACTGCTTTTGAAATATTAAGTAAAAATATTATACCAATGGCATATTAAGATATGATATTGTAATATACATGATATATGTTTCCCTATTGTAGGTACCGGATGTAATGCTTGTTACATGGAATCTCTTGATAATGTCGGTCTGTGGGAGGAAGAGCGCGACCATCCGAACGAGGTACTAAATTCTTTTGTACATGAAACATGTATTCTATTCCCCCCCCCCCCCCCCTCGGCTTATTCAGGAGAAAAAGGAGACCTTAAGAATCTGTAACATTTGAAATGCAGTTATAATGTGTTGATCTGATTTTGCTTTGTATTAAAAAAATTACGTAAATTTAATGGTATATTTTTTTTATTTATTAGGTTATTATAAATACGGAATGGGGCGCGTTTGGAGATAATGGTTGTTTAGACTTCATAAGAACTGAGTATGATCGTGAACTGGATAATTTCTCAATAAATCCTGGTAAACAAATGTGAGTAGTTACGTTTTAGCCTTTTCATGTATAAAATTCTGCTTAAAACCATAAAAAACTCATTTAACTTATAAATGCTTTACTTTCTGTGTTGTTCCAGAATGGAGAAGATGATTTCCGGTATGTATATGGGTGAGATAGTGAGATTGGTACTAGAGAGACTCGCCATGGACGAGCTCCTTTTCTCCGGAGTCGATAGAGACGGCGAACTCTTCATCCGTGGCCGATTTTACACGAAATATGTTTCAGAGATTGAAAGGTAAATTTGATTAGCGTAAAATACTACTGTAGTTGAATATGTGAAATTGATCTAGGGTAGCTAGTTCCAAATCTTTTTACTTAGCATTTCTAGTTTCCGGACCAAAAGTTTGACCAACTGCAGACGTCTACTTAATAAACAGAAATATGACGGGCATGTAAATTTCTGTATAGTTTTAAATGATTAAGGCTACTAAAACACATTCCTTAACTTGGTTTTAACAATGAAGACGTGCTACCGAAATAGATAGGGAATTGGCTTTATATGCAAATGCTGGTAGTAGGATTTTAATTAGATATTCAACAATTCAAAAGCACAACTGTTAAATTCCCTTTTATATTCTATATTTGCATGATTTATAACGATACAAGACGGAAGGGCCAGGAGGCCAAATGCACTTGATTGGATAAACTTTATGTAACTGCTAGATACGTTACGTCTTTAAGCATTTAAAACAAGTATTTTATATTTCATTCTGAAGGTCTTTAAAGGAAAGATAGGTTATGAATCGATTGAAAGACACTATATGGCACTGTATGTTACTGCGTAGGAATTTTATTTCGATTTTTTGAATAAATAAGCTGCATGATTTTAGAGTTAACTAGTATGTAGATGTATAATTGCTAGTCTGAATTATATAGAGTTGTTCACGCAGTAAATTTTTAATTCATGCATAAAAAAACGCATGAAACGGAGGTAAAACGCCAAGATGTGCATTTGTTTACTGCTCTTCAATATCTTGACGAACAGCCTTGTTGAATGCGCTCATAGAAAATTTTCATGAATAAAAAGTATTAATTGAATATCTCCTGTTTCTGTTATTTCAGTGACCATGACGAGTTTTTCAGGAATACCAAACAGGTTCTTGATGAACTGGGGATTGAAAACTACACCTCAGACGACTGCAAGATTGTCAAATATGTCTGTACTCTTATTTCTGCGCGCGCAGCTTTCCTTTCATCTGCTGGTGAGTTATATGACAAGAATTTTTGATTATGGGTTCACTTGATGATTGTATAACACAATTTTTACGTTCAAACAGGCATCGCTACCCTGATCAACCGCTTGAAAAAGAAGTCTATGACAATTGCCGTAGATGGTTCCCTCTACAGGTTTCACCCTCGATTCCACAATCTTATGGTTCTGAAAATTCAAGAACTAGTCAACCCTGGGCATAAGGTAGATAATTTTCGTTATCAGTAATTGTTGTAAAGTTAAATTAAAAAAAAAAAATGAAGTAAAAGTTTATCAGTATGAAAATCACTTTTCTGTGATACTTGTTTTGATGTCAACATCATCTAAATAGAATATCTATGCCCAGAATACAGGTAATTTGTATTTTTTAAAAAATATATATATAATTTGTGTTATTTTTAGTTTAAATTGGTTTTATCTCACGATGGAAGCGGAAAAGGAGCAGCATTAGTAGCAGCTGTCGCCACTAGACTTCAGGATAAAAAGAACACTGCAGAGTGAACATAATACCGTTATATTAGAGTTTTCAAAAGAGGAGGAAGAATCTTGCATAAGATCACGTGACATTCGCTTTCCGGTCATGTGATTACTTTCTTCATGTTTATCATTTTGCATTGGCTGCATTACATAGGGAATCATATTTCTCTGTATGCTAATGTATTGATACAATTAAGCGTTTTGCTTCGAGGTTTCAGCAAAGACATTGACAATTGAGGGCATTATTGCATTAAATGGTGCATCTAATATACTAACAATGACACTGTAGCAAAGATGTTACACTTTCGTGAAAATGAGAGAATGTAGAAGAGAGTTCATCTGAATACATATTGAGGTTTTCTTCTTCGAAAGCAGTTTTCCCTGTTCTGTGATTAAACAAATGGTTGTTTATCGCATAGAAAAAATGTTATGAAAAATACCCAGTGATCAACGTACATGTACAACTTTCTTACTTGGCAAATGAAAGTAAACTCCAAAGAGGCTGGTTTTCTACTGCTACGTATTAAAACATACTCATATTTGTAAATACACATGAAATATGCTTGTATATTATAGAAATGTATAATTATATATGTATCCATGTACAGTTCATGATCAGTTGTTTTCCCCTGAGCTACTGTTGTACTCCTTGGCTTTTTGTTATGATATATGGACTTGTTATTATGAAATAAAACCAATTTTTGAGAAAGTTTTCCTTTTTATAGGAGAAAAAGGGTAAAATACTTTGCAATTGAAACACCACTCGAATTTAAAAACAAGATAACAGAAGAAAATGCGATTAAATACTGCATACTTTAACAGTGTCTATAAGATGTGGAATTTTCTCTCTTTGTACGTTACAGAGAAGTTATTTCAAATCAAATTGCAACGTATTGACTACTTTACAAATATAAAAGAATTCCTTAGGACCACACATCGGATTTTGAACATGTAGTTTTGAGGTCTTGCGATGCACATGCGGTTATACCAGCCTTCAAGGAATCGTAAAAACATGGCATCTTTTTTTATGACGACATGCCCGAAAATCAATTATGTGATCAACATCTAACTTTCTCATGATAATGTGGGAGAAGACGTTTTAATATCCTCACATGCAACTTTGTTTTGTCTTGCATAATTGAAATACCCAACGTCAGGAAATTTGGGGGTAAGGTGAGGGGGGGTTACAATCCTGTCTTCCAAATTTTGCTTAAGTATTTTTTTTATCAATGTACTGCAAAATTATGCATATTTAGGATGGCATCCGACTGAATGTACCATTAAGATATTTGACATATCTGCTATTAAAAAGAAATCATACTTCAAATATACATAAACATTTTACATTTGCTGATGTTAAGACAGTAATAAAACTTTCAGATCTGAAATCTGAGAAGTGTGAACTATATATGTATAAGCTGATGAAGATTATCAAATGATCCAAGATATATATATATATATATATATATATATATATATATATATATATATATATATATATATATATATATATATATATCTCCTCATACCGACACCCCCCCCACCCCCCCCCCCCACCCCCCCAATGCGTAAGAAAAAAAAATATTTTGGAAACACTATATATACGTAAGCCCGTCTTTGGATTGCGTTATATACCTGTTTTAATTTGTAAAATCTCCTAAGCTAGATCTGAATTCTTGACCAGGGAAGTGACATCATTGATATTTTACTGTTATTTGACAGTAAGCGAACATAATGCACTATAGACGAGGTTCCCGTTTATAGTTCATCATTCCTCTGCTAAAATCATTCTTTTAAACTTTTCATTATCCAAAAAAATCCGATTTTTAATTTTAATATGCACACAATTTCAGCATACCTTGCGGGACAAAAATTTTAAAGGAATGGCCTGTAAACTGGGCAATTTCATAATGAAATAATAGTCATTTATTCCAGTGAGAGTAATCAGAGGGTCAATGAACTTCAAACTAAGTTTATCTTTTTCTTCTGAATGTAAGTTGAAAATCCTACACTATAGTCTCCCATTTAATATCACCAACAAGGTATCGTTCTCCTGGTCTTCCTTTCTAATAATAGTCAATATTCTTTGCATCAAGTTCTAAAAAAATTAGAAATTGCTTCTATATTTTCAATCAATGGAATAAGATTGAAAATAATGCTCTGAACACCTCATTAAATTTGTATCATATTTGTTTTGCATACATATATTGAAAAACAAAATTTTTCATCCAACCTGATTGTATCAAAGACTTTCTGCTTCTTGTTCGCTTTAATTCTCAAAGACAATGGTGTTCAACGTTCACCTTTCCCTTCTATCGATTATCTCGAACAAATAAGGTTAATTGCTGTATACTAGGAGGTAATTAGGTAGTATTTCATTATATTGTTTTTCCAAGCGAAACCACACGTCCTCTGTACGTATAAATTTTTCTGTCAAATCGAATGGTAAATACACATATACTGTAAATATAGAGAGAAGTCTACTGAATTTTTACTATGATTCAGACAGAATATCATTTTATATCAGAATATAAAGAAAATTAAAGAAAGCCATCATTGTATTGTGTAACCAGCTGGACACACTCAAGAGTATTTTTCTTTTAGTGAATAATGTTTCAAAATGTTTTCAAAAATATATTTTAGTAATACTATTAATAAATATTACACCATATCTATACTGTGTTTCTTGACAAAATTTGTTAAAATGAGTGAATTGATAGAAAGTCATATAATTACTTTATAATACATATCGAGTCTATTTTCGACCACTCGATCCAAATCCACTAGAACCAAATCCTGCGTTAGCAGCATTGGGATCAAAGCTGCCACCGAATCCCCCTGATGCTCCACCCGAACTACCCCCTCCCATTGCTGCATTTGGATCAAAACTACCGCCAAATCCCCCTGACGCAGCACCTCCTGAACTACTTCCCCCTCCCATTCCAGCATTTGGATCAAAACTTCCGCCAAATCCCCCGCTAGCTGCTCCTTCACTTGAACTTCCACCTGCTGAATTACTTCCTGATGAGCTTCCAAAACCACTTCCTCCAAATCCTCCACTTGAACTTCCAAAGCCACTTCCTCCAAATCCTCCAGTTGATGAACCACTAGATGAACTGCTTCCTGCAGAGCTTCCAAAGCCACTTCCTCCGAATCCTCCACTAGAACTTCCAAAGCCACTTCCTCCAAATCCTCCCGTTGAACTTCCACCTGCTGAACTTCCTCCGGATGAGCTTCCAAATCCACTTCCTCCAAATCCTCCTGTTGAACTTCCTCCAGAAGAGCTACCGAAACCGCTTCCTCCAAACCCTCCAGATGAACTTCCTCCCGCGGAGCTTCCAAAGCCGCTCCCTCCAAATCCTCCAGTTGAACTTCCACCTGCTGAACTTCCTCCGGCGGAGCTTCCAAAGCCGCTCCCTCCAAATCCTCCAGTTGAACTTCCCCCCGCGGAGCTTCCAAAGCCGCTCCCTCCAAATCCTCCAGTGGAACTTCCACCTGCTGAACTTCCCCCCGCGGAGCTTCCAAAGCCGCTCCCTCCAAATCCTCCAGCTGAACTTCCTCCGGCTGAGCTTCCAAAGCCGCTTCCTCCAAATCCTCCAGTGGAACTTCCACCTGCTGAACTTCCTCCGGCGGAGCTTCCAAAGCCGCTCCCTCCAAATCCTCCAGTTGAACTTCCTCCGGCTGAGCTTCCAAAGCCGCTTCCTCCAAATCCTCCAGATGAACTTCCACCTGCTGAACTTCCTCCGGCTGAGCTTCCAAAGCCGCTTCCTCCAAATCCTCCAGTTGAACTTCCTCCGGAAGAACTACCAAAGCCGCTTCCTCCAAATCCTCCAGATGAACTTCCACCTGCTGAACTTCCAAATCCACTTCCCCCAAATCCTCCCGCAGAGCTTCCGCCTGCTGAACTGCCGAAACCCCCTGAGGTATCAAACCCACTTCCTCCAAAACCCCCGGTTGCTGCAGCGCCAGATCCACTGGATGAGGCAGCAGATCCACTACTGCCACTTGAGCCGAATGCTAAGGCATTTGGATCAAAGCCTAAATAAGCAGAAAAAAAATATGACATGGTATATTGTGTTAACACTATGTTGTTTTATACATTAGCATGCACTTCTGTTGCTATTAATAACCACAGAAAAATTTACTTCGACGAGTTTTGACATATTCAGTTTGTCTGTTGCAAGAAGTAGTAAGAAGGAAAAAGAGGCATAAAGAAGGAAAGATGTAAAGTTAACATATTTAAATAGAGAGATTAAGGGACCAGGCATTTTTTTCAGTAGGGTGGGACCGGTGCAACAAAAACAACTAATTAAAAAAAGTCTGGATCCCATATATTACAGAATAAAAAGAAGTATATATCTGTGAAAACATCACATTAACATTCAAATACGAGTATTCGGCTCAAGTGACAGTTGTAGATTTGCTGCTCCATCCAGTGGATCTGGTGCTCTTATATACATGTACATGACAAACTTAAGTAGCAGCAGTAATCTAGAGGGCTGGGGTAGATGACTACCACTCATAGGTACAGATTCAATTTAGTTAAAAAAGATTAATGTTGGTATTTTCTTTTCAGAAACTAAATGTTTGGAAATTTTAAATGTGATTTTGGATTACATGCAACCTAAAAATATAAACTATATTTCATCATTTAAAAACTGCACAATTTTATACAAACTTTGAAAATCTACTGTAATTCATCACATGTATTTGCATTTGGAAATATTTGTTTGTTTATTCATTTGGAAATGATCAAGAATTCTTAATACTACTGATTTAGAAAAAAAAATATGAGAATTTCTGATACTGTAAGAAGATTTGAATTTTCATAGAAAGCATCTATCATCATGATAAGGTCAGTCAATCGATATTGCATGGCATGTTCTCTTAATTGACCGTAACTTTTTTTTACATGTATTTTTTAATAAAATACGCCATATTTGGTATCATTTTTCTTCTAATAGCATGTACTTTCTAAATCTGAAAGTGATATATCATAAGACTTGAATTTTCATAGAAAGCATCCATTATCATGTTAAGGTCAGTCAATCGAAATTGATTCGTTCTTATAATTGACAGTAACTTTTTCGTGCACGTATTCAAGGCCAGGTTTAATTTTCAGTCTGATTCGGAAAATATTAATGACTGTTATTCCAAAAACTTAAAATTCTTCTTATCAAAAAATATTTGTGAGTGTGATACTCACTCTGGCTGTAAATAAACACAGGGAGACCTAGAAAGAGAAGAATATGTCCGACCGCCATCTTCTGTCCTTCTACTTATCAGAGTTGGTCAGTTGGCAGGAGAGTTAGTCCCTCCTGTGTTCTATTTATAAATGACGGTTCCGTGACTTATCTAACCTATCAATTACAAATTATCTTTGTCGAATATAATTGTTTTCTTCGATGACTGTGGCTTATGATTTTTTTTTTCATAAAAGGATTAAGGATAGAAAATTGTTTAATTTAATTTTTCTGAAAATAATGTGATGCAAAATTCAAAAGTCTAAAATTATATCTGATTTTTTTTACCGATGAATTTACGAACATCACAAACACTAAACGTGGAAACAGATCCTACTAGAATTCATAAAAAAAGAAAAAAAATACAGTATGAAAATGAAAATCTAATTGACTTATATTTCGAAAGAATATCGAATTGCTAACATTTTAGAACTCTAGTGTAATTGAAGGACTGGTCATTTTTCAGATTTTAAATTTGTGAAGAAAACACAAATAAAAACTTGAGAAAAAAAAACAACTATAGATTTTATCCTGACACAAGATGAATGACAATTAAGTACAAATTACTTGTCATGAATAATTGACTGACCGCATGCATTAAATAACAGAACTGTATCCTACATTTAGGATGACATCGTTATAAAAAAGAAAATCTATTGTTTTTACAAATAAAACTAAATGTTTTCGCTTTTTTAAGGAAAAAAACCCTTAGCCATTTGCCAAACATACCGAATCATCGATCATGCAGTATACAAACACACCTCATGCAATAATTATATACAGTGCACAGGTACATGAGGACAGGCCCCTCCCACTCCCGAATTTTCAAACTCCGGACTAATTTGACTTTTTTTCCCATAAGTTATATTTATTAGACTTGTTAATCATTAGAGAAGTCTGGACGAAAATAAGCGCACCCTCCCCAGACAAAATCCCCGATTATAATAAGAAAGAAACTTTTCTCTCTTATTATATATAGTCGAGTTTTTGTGGAATGATTATTTTGTTCCTTTTTTTTTTAAAGATTTATTCTATTGTATAAATGATAAATAAATCAGGCTAATCAGCCCGGGGTTGGGGGTGTCCTGTCGACATGTACATAAGATAAAATTTCCCGATTTACTTCTTTTCAACTAACATACAGTGTGTACAGTGTGGTCTTGAAAATGTGACTGTTCGTCTCCAAATTTATGATTTACAAGTAATAAAAAATATTAATATAAAATACAGAAGAGCAATAGGTGTCATGGATGTGGACAAGTGATTTCTAAGTTGATTTACGAGTTTATATAACATAGCTATTAATTAAGAAAAAGACTGGTTGCTCAAGGTGTAATATCAATCATTGCCATTTATGCAGTATCTTTATTTAACTGAATTTCTGAGGAATGTACATGTATTATGAGAAGGAAACATTAGAAAAACAAGCGTGGAAACAACTAAGTAACAATGAAGAAGGTTGTCGAAGGTTTTCGTGTGTGTGTGTGTACTTTACTGAGTTTTCCATGGAATTTTGAAAGGTTCTTTCTCGTTATATTTAGATTCATATGATAAACATTTAATTATGAATATTAGAGATACGTACATTGCAGAAAATGTTCTTCACAAGTTTGAATTCAAACACTGATATTGTATTATTAACAATCATAAACTGTGCTGCATTAAAGTAGAATTGGCAGGCACGTAGGAAGCAATTTCAGTTGGGGGGGGGGGGGCACAGCTATACATTTTTAGTTGAGGGGGCACTATCAACTACCAAAAATTCTTTCACAAACAAAAAAAAAAAAACAAAAGTAAAAACAAACACAAAAAAAGGAAAAAAAAGGTCAATAAACGTTTTTATTGAGGGGGCACAAGCATATAATAGCTATGTTTTCTATAGTAAACCCCCCGTGCCCCCCCCCCCCCCCTGGTTCCTACGGCCATGATTCGGATAGAATTCGGATATGCGACGGAGTATCGCATATCGAAATGCAGACTCGAGTTATCTTTCTTTTGATAGATTGTCGATCGGACTAATCATAGGCAATATAATATTATTTTCTTTTTTTATATCATGTTGTTGGCATTTAATATTTATGAGTAAACATATAGTTTCAAAATGCTAGTACATGTATCTAAGCATATGTGAGGATCCTTGGCTCTCGGGTCCAGCAATCAGCGTTAGCAAACACAAAAATGAAACATTTATTTTTTAAATATGTTACCTGACCTGATCTGACACATGCTCTTTTGGAAATTGGTGCTGTGCAGCAACTGCAAATGATATCAAATCTACAAATGATATTGTAATATATCACTTCATTTTATACGTAATAATGTGCGGTTCTCCAATTCTCACACTTGTTAAGTCTATGTCCATCATGTGCCTGCCAGAAAGTTGTTCGTTTACGATTTTATTGAAAATAATATGTCAGCCTATCTTGATACGATTGTAGTTATAGCTTTATCATCATATTTTACCTGTTGTTGCTTCATGTAAAGTCGTAGGATTTATAATATCAGGGATAAGAGGTGGATTTTACATTTCATGTTTTGGTAGCCATCATACTTTACTCGGATCGTCACTTCCGGTTTAGTGACATATTTACTATAGTAATCTTTAAGTTGTTGTGTATTTTGAGGCTATAAGTAGTTCTTTTTTGTCAGCATTTAACTTTGTTATCAGTCAGCTTAATCGGAACTACATTTGTTTACGCTATCGTTGGTAGTTACATGTACGATATTCATACGCTACATTGTTCAGTACCTATTGTACAGCCTAGGAATGTTTTATAAACATTGAAGGTATTAATTTACTCGTCTAGTCATGTTTATGTTATGTATTCTATTTCCAGTTGTTAATTTTACATTGTTATATTTGTTACGATATTGTACGGTAGCTTGTGTGGCAAAAGTAGTTCTGTGTGGGAACTTGTGTGGGAACTCAGCTTCCCGCTCAAGCTGTTGATTAGATGATAGTTCGTACGGCATATTTTCATTGGATAATTTGAGTCATGTGACAGGGGATAGGAGGTTATATAAGCAAGCGCGTACTACGTTACGACAGATTTCAGCTAGTTGTACGGCGGCAACATTTAAAAAGATAAAGAAGAAAACAAAGACGGTGAGATACTTATACTGTAAATTACACGTAATTAGCCTAGTTAGAAATCTCCTACCACACTGGGCGACCTAAACTTGTGTTTCTGAAGAATCAGCCATGTTTTCTTATGTTGTTATATGTGTATTGCCTATATTGTTATGATAATGAGATGCTGTACGTACAATAAATGATAAGTATGACTGATCATCATCTTATTTGTTCCTAGAATATTTCACACCAAATAAATTAAACCGTGTTAATAAAATTCTTTCATCTGGAAATTATTAGAGCTACTATTTTCCGGACGCCTTTGATTGACACATATCTCTGCACTTTCACAAAGTAATCTTTATCCATAATATTTAGGAAAAGTAGAAATTCTTTTATGTATTAATGAAAAATATGAAAACTATAATCCAGAAAGTTCAGAGTAGAAATGCGAGAAAGCGAAACCAACAGTATTGTCAGTCCGTGCTCAGTAATTTATGCAGACTAAACAAATTGAACACATCCGGTAAAACGTAAAACGTAAACACTAATAATCACAGAGCTCGTGTTCTGTCTACAAACACAGGTTATGAAGAGTCTCATTATCATTAAATTCTTAGAATATTCATGTAAGTTCAAATCTTTAAAGTGAAGTTACATTGTATTTTTGTATAAAAATAGACATTTCAAATTGTAAGCAATGCAACTGTGTCCAAGCCCCTTAATTTAAACATTATTTTAGGCTGTATAGTGAATCATTGAATGTATGTTGGGATCGGGGATAAATATTTTAGACTACTCAGAAGACCACCCACATATTCAGAATCATTCATTTTATTACTTATTGCCACTCTTAACATTTTGATAATAAAGAATTTGTCTCGGAAGAGGATTTATCCTTGATATCTTCCATTGGTGCTGTAGAAAACTTGGTTTTGGTCCTCTCCTTTCTAAAATCATCATTTGAATCTGTAACATTTTCATTCTGTTTTTCTGTTTGATTCTCCATGTTTTCTTTGGAATGTTTAATAATTTTACTTTCATTTTCATGAAAAACAATTGTCTCTTCTGTGTCTGCAGGATGTGCCCCTTGACGATCTCCGACTCCTGACACCCAAGCAAAAATGGCACCAATCAGAATTAGAATACCTGAAATATCTTTGCTACATCAGTTCTTTTTTAAACAAGACTTTATAAGAATTTAGATGAAATTTTACTAAACTAAAAACGAATATAATATTTTGTTTCTCAGTGTTCCCTTGATTCCCCCCAGAACCCTCTCTTGATCCCCCTCAGGTTCTTACCTGCTGCTGTTATAGACTGACCATATGTTCCTCCTGAGTTGACAATGAAACCTAGACAATAAGGTTTAAAATGAAATGAGGAAAAAAATAATTTCAAAATAATAACAATTTACTTTTTATGTCAAGAGAACTCTATACTTCCTTTATATACTAAGTACTTACCTCCTAGTAAAGGTCCAATGAAACAACCAAGACCGGTGAAAAACAAAATAAGTCCATACACTGTAGCTAGATTGTTAATCCCAGCAAGAATTACACTTATAGAATTCAGCAGTGCATAGCATATTCCAGAGTACATCCCCAGTGTCACCATGTAAAATACCTGACCACCATATGTTTGACCATACAGTGGAAATAGCACTGTCGTTAAACCTATTAAACTGAATGAACCTGCATATAGCACAAATTCGTCTATATTGTTGGAATTGGTGGCCGAACCGACCAGAATGCGCGACATACAGTTGCAGATACCACATACTGATATAAGAAAAGCAGCTTCCAATTTGCTAAATCCAACGGAAGTGACGTAACTTGCAAAATGGAGGAACACAAGATAAATTCCTAAATTACATAGAAACATAGAAATGTAAACGCACAATAGTGCTCTTTTAGAGAGAAAAAAGTACACTTCCCTCAACCTCTGTAACTTTGATCCCTGACTACTGTTATAGTTTGATAATTTTATCTCTTTCTTCCGACTAACTTCAAGTTTTGAAGGATAAAGTAAGGCACCAAACACGCAATATTGCAAGGTCAAGCCTGAGCACATTAACATTAATCCACGATAACCAAAATAGTTGCTTGCACTTTGCATCAATGGCGCTAATGTGAATGCCCCAATGCCAATTCCCGATACAGCTACGCCACTCGCAAAATTCCTCTTCTTCTCGAAGTTGTACCCAACAACAACAACAGACGATGTAAAAGCTATCCCTATTCCAACACCTGAAGAAAAGGAGATTTATTACCGGATGTCTAAACAGACTATAAATATAAAAACATTTTATAAATTGTATTGAATGAAATGTTTCCATTATAAATTGACTCTCCGTTATTTAAGCTCAAATTTGTTTGTGACTCTGTTTACAGAAAGATAAAATCAGTATTATGAGAATCAATTATTCTTTTTTACATTATGAATTAGTACCGGCTTTATTAGTTATCTTCTTTACAATTATTATATTGTACTTTACCACCAAATATCCCCAATGAAAAGAAAACAAAAATGATATTCGGCATGAAAGCAGTCGCTAGTAGGCTTAAAGACACAATAAATCCACCAGTTACCAAGGATACACGACAACTCCACCTATTGGCTATCAAACTTGCAAGTGGTCCTGAAATGAATGAGAAATAGACACTATCTTTCTTACATTTGCACATTGTTTCAAAACACAAAGCACATATATAATAGAGTCGAATAGCAGTATTAAAAAAAGGTAATTCAATGATGAATATACATGTAAGTTAGACCGTGTTTATGGTACCCAGAAACAGTTTGGATTATATGGACAAATTAAAATTAGACTGTCAGAATATTCATTTGAAGAATTTTAGCAACCTCTATTTATAATATATATGCATTAAATAAACATTTGATTTCTACTGTTGCCTCTATATTTCTCTATTATTGTCCCTTTGTGTCCTTATTGATGCCCTAGTATGTGTCTGTGGGACTCATTATTCGCATGAATTTACGAAGATAATTTTTGATTCAACAAACAATAGGCATGCTTTTGATAAGTTTTTTTTTACTATCAATTTTAAGTAAAATGTTTGTGGTTAATGGTATCCCATGTTGACCTATGTAAAATGTTTGTGGTTAATGGTGTCCCATGTTGACCTATGACCCAAAGTTAAACGGCAAAAGTGAACATCAATTTATTAATTGAAAGATTTTGTTTCCCTTTTAAAACTCTAAATAATTACTCTTACATCCATATTTTAGATTTTCAGACTACAATGAAATATATGGAGATAACGAACAGTATTCAAGCTCAAAAGTCCATTAAACAATACAAAATGGGAGCAGAGCAAATACGGACTTCTAAACATCAGAGGTGGGATCAGGTGCCATGGAGGAGTGAGCATCCCCTGCCGACCAGTCACGCCCGCTGTGTGCTCCTTGTCATGATCGGGAAATAACGGAAAAATCCGTCGACAATTCAGTGTATAAATAAAAATAATGGCCTCACAATTAGTATGAAAAACGTCAGTCAGCATTTGACTCAATGATAAATTGTATTTGCTGACAAGGTCATTGTATCGACCATAGAACTTACGAAATGATGACTTTAAACGAGACAGCTGACATTCTTGTTTCATCAACTTGTTTGTCAATAATTTACCTCGTTTTAGAAATTGTACATAAGTAGAGCATGCTCTTGCGTATCGAATCAACTGAGAGATATATACCCAGTATGCAGGTGATGAAGGTATATTGCTGCATAAGTAAGGGAAGTTGACCATTGAAAAGTTAAAGTCATCACGTTTATCACAAAGCTTGGTTGTTAGATTACCATTAACGTCTTTTTCAAGCAAAATATCCAAATATGAAACAGATGTGTCAGACTCTGTGGTATCTTTTATATCAAGCTCACCAGGATATATCGTATCGACATAAGAATGGAAATAGCTATTGTTAATTGACAATGCATCGTCGATATATCTAAATGTCGAGTTGAAGGCCACAGCAAGTGTTTTCTTCTTTTCACGTACAAGATTTTGGACAAATTCTGCTTCATATGTATACAAAAAAGTCTGCTTATAACGGGGCGCAATTGGTACCCATGGGAATTCCAATAGATTGTTGGAAGACCTGGTCTCCAAAAACCACATAGATATTGTCAATCAGAAACTCAAGCATCTTTTTAATGTCAACTTCAGAGTACTTGTGTGTACAATCAGAATGTTTTTTAACAAAATAATTTTGCAAATGACCAATGACAAGGTAAGTATATTTACGAGTTCCATTTTTATTGAAAAAGCAGCTGTCAATGATATCAAAAAGCCTGGACTTTAATTTATCGTGGGGAATGGTTGTGTATAAAGTAGAAAAGTCGTAAGTTTTTAAGCTGTTAATTTTGGTAAAATCTTGTGATTTCAAATTTTCCAAAAGTTCCTTGGAATTTTTAAGTATCCACATCTGATTTACACCACTTCTCGAATATATTGTTACACAGTACTCTTGAAGTTTCTCCTTCACCACTGTTAATATCTTAGTGAGGAGTAAAGAAAGAGGTTTGGTTGAACATTTACTGGAACCCGCTATGTATCTTTGTTTGTAAGGATTTTTATAAAGTTTCGGAATCCAATATAAATATGGTAATTCAAATTCATTTTGATTGTTTGGAATATTAAAAATATTCAAAACTGACATATGATTTTGAAGAATTTCTTCCTTAGAAAGGGAACTACGAGTATAAGTTGGATTACCACTTGTAGAATTAAATCCAAGTTCCTCTAAAATACATTTAATATAATGAGCCTTACAAACAAAGACAATGTTGTTACCTGCTTTGTCAGCAGGGACCAGTACGTAGTGATCATGTAATCTATCTTATTCTTGTTTCAATTCTGGATTATTTAAACAGAAGGATAGATGGTTCTCATATTGCCCCTCAATCTTTTAATGCGTGATTTTAACATATATTCGATACATTTAATCCATTCTGACAAAGTGTCAAGGTCTTCTTTTTCATGTCTGGCCCATCTCCTGGCGTAGTCCTCTACAGAATCCATAATATTTATGAAATTCCGACGCCAGTTGAAGGATCGGGGATCCCTAAATTTAGGACCTTTTAAAATTAGTGATCTAAGGTCCTCATTATTAACTATATTTACATCACCAGTAATATATGTAATATAAAATAATATGAAAACAATGAGGATAATAATGTTTTTGCCTTTATTTCTTACACAGTATATAGATGTAAAAAAAAATGAAAACTGAAAAATGGATAATGACTACTTTTATTTTTTACAAAGCCTCGGAAAAGCTGGTAAGATTGCTGGTAACGAGTATCTTAATTAAGGTAAATAAAAAACAACAATAAGATTACATACTTTGCATTTAAATTTTCGTATATTGAAACGATTTATTTTGATAAAAGATAAAAACGAAAGATTACGTTATAAACCCTCTTTATTCCTGAGGGAAACAATTTAAGAAAATTCACCCCATCCCATCAAAGTAACTTTTAAATTTGCATTCACACATTCACATGTTCTTTCTAGTAAATCACTAATGAATTCTTTTGATCTAGTATATTTTGACCTTTTCCAGCAATATCTTATTAGAACAGGATGTGTATGTTCATTTCAACAATTTTCCCTTTTATTTCAATATATGTCTATATTATGTACATTATTATAAAATGAAAATTATTATAAAATGAAAATCAAAATACTTAGTTTGAAATATGATACTACAAAATTTAAAACAAAGTTCATTTTCTTGATTACTGAAGTAAGTGTAAAGGCGAAACATTCCGAAAGTAAGGAAGTATAAAAGAGAAAAATCATTAGGAATATGGCAAAAGTGAATAGATACTTTAGTAAGTCACTACGAGAGAAATTGATATTACTACATGTATAATGCAGTGGTTGATAATAAAGAACATAAACTTTATACGAATTTACCTGATGAGGAAAGTAGTCCTAAGAAGATTGATAGCGCCAAGGAAGTTTTGAACACACTTTCTTTGTAGTGGTCAAGTAAAGACATCTGAAGAATCCCTATAGCAGTCAAGAAGAAACCATGGATGCAGTGAGATCCGAAAGAAGCCAGAAGGACGGCCCAGGACCATCCTTGATCAGGTAAAGTGAAGTACCTGGTCATATTTAATACAGGTAAAACATGGCAGGAGTTGTGTCCAAACTGAGGTATTCTTGCTTCAAAGAGAACTCTGAAATTAAATAAGTTTGCTTGTAAATACTTAATTTCTACTTTAATTTAAACACACATGTAGATATGTATACAAATTATGAAATTGGTATATCCTGTATGAACGGGCATCGCCATCATAAAAATACTGAAAACTGATGAGTATTGGGTTTTTGTTAACCTTTGAATAATATGCACTACCAAATGTTTTTATTTTGAAAGAATAGACGTCAAGAAAAATAGTGAAGTTTGTATTGCTTTTGTATTAACGTAAAAGTTGCCTTGTTGCAGTTAATTATAAACTCATGAAAAACAACAGCCACTCATTTTCAACATCTAAGACTTTTTACAAAAAAATCAAAGGTAATAAAAAACAAGCAAGATGAATGAATTCTGAAGCCATACCTTGCGTAAGCACTACATGAAAATACATGTATACAGTGTATTCCCAAAATAAACTAAAGTCTTCCTTGTAATTGTCAATTCACAATTCACGAAACCATATAAATCTCATGGGCTCCATGCTCACATATAGATGTTCCTTTTCACCACCTTCCCCCTATTCGTTTTCAATAAGTGAAGGCTTTCTCAATCTCTTTTGATGATTTTCTTCAATAGAAGAATAAAAAAAAATTAATGACAAGTGTATCCTTTGTTGTTGGTACATCCCAGGCAATGATTGCCTTGAGAAAGTTCTGATTCACACTAGTTTGAGAAATATTTAATGAAAATATTTTTTTGCACGAGGAAATAATAATAGATAAGTATAGAATATAAAGACATGTTTACCTCCTTAGCTTAAGAACGTTGAACTATATGTAGCAATAGGAGGCCATTTACAGCTACCAGTTTGTTGACCCACCTAGAAGAAAAGATGATGATTAAGACACTATGAAACTTTCAGTTATTATTGACTGCAAAATCTTGACAAAGATGATAAACAACTATTATATCAAATACCAACCTCTGTCGCGTAGCCGAAAAATCTTTCCGAGTATCCAATGAATTTTAATAACAACATTCATTTCAACCGTAAAACGTAATAAAAGAAGTCTCTAAATGGGTTATGCGTGACGTTATTGTAAGTAATTGCTAAAATCTGTTCCAAAGTGCATTTTTTTTTTAACGTAACACAAAACTCTGAGGAATGCATGAGTAGCCAACTGTTCATTAAAGAACATCTGCCAAAAGCTTTAATAGATGTTATTTTGCAAACTGATTAATCCATATTTCGCCCTGACAAGAGTAAATTTAGGTTACTGAAAGTTACAGACCATAGAGATCGATCGAGAGACTTATTCATTGTGTCGATACTACAGATTGTTTCAATACTTGCCATTATGCCAATTACACTGCATTTACTTACCTTAAAAAACATTGTGCATTTACTACATCGTTATCTTGTCAGTTTTGTTATTTCTTAAAGAAGGGAAACAAATAAAATAGTTACATAAGAATGAAACTTTTTGCCATGAATTTTTACTTTATCCTATTCTTTGTGGTATGCCGAAATAAAATATTTATATTATCGGATATTTTACGTTACACATGTTAGACGAGGAATACCATATATGCATTCCTAAACAGGGGGTTTAACATAAGTTGACTCTACTGAAGGATGAAATTTTCATGTCATATTTTCTTGTTTTATCAAATTCCGATTCTTTTAAAAATAAACTTTAATCAGTCTTAATTCCTAGATGAATAATATATGTTTCTTGTTTTATTTGTATTGACATTCGTGTCTTGTAAAAATCTTGTCCTGGTGTAAGAGGATTACTTAACAATGTAAACTGCTAATCTAACTAAACATTTTAGATCCGCGCTGTATACACTCTACGTAAACCCGACGGTGCACCAACCCGACTAAGGGTCATTGTAGCCACCGCTAATGATAAAACGCCGCTTAATGATAGAAATATGATTATAATGTTATAAATTATTGCATTAATAGTTGACATTCTCAACCGCTTAATGATATAATTCTTTCATTAAACGGTAATTTAGCATTAGCGGTTGACGATTCAACTATTAATGTAATAATTTATTGCATTAAACGTTGCAATAGCAACGCTTAATGATATTTCTATCATTAAGCGGCGTTTTATCATTAGCGGTTGCTACAGGTCATGTTCACGTGACCCCTAGTCAGGTTATATCAGATCTTAGACAGACTGTATACAATGGAAATATACATGTCTGATTTTAATTGGATTAATATTGCTGAACTACCTAGAGCTAATCCAAAAATAAATTAAAATACAAGTTTAAATCTATATTCTGTGGCGTTTATGAATGGAATCAGAATTAAAAGCATAACTGAACAATTTTACAATTTTTCTTTATTTTTACTCTTTAAAAGAATTTCATTTCGCAAAATGTTAATGAGCTTTATCAACTTACGTGCACACTGTCGACAAAGAAATAGAACCAGTTAAAATTGCATTCTTGCGACTTGTCACGTAACAACAAACTTGTATAATCGCAATCATCAATCACTTACAAGCATGCTGAAATGTTTACATTGACGATCAATTTGTTCATTTAACAATTTAAACTTTTTCGACTAGATAGCTCCGAAACGGTAAGCGTGCACCGCACCAATGTGATAAAAATATAAAATGACAAATGATTTTTAAGGGACTTTGCTGATTTTAGTATTCTCCAATGTTATCAATGGGCATGTCAAAATAAGAAGTTTAAACAATAACATATCCAAAAAAAAAAAAAAAAAAAAAAAAAAAAAAAAAAAAAAAAAAAAAAAATAATAATAATAATAATAATAAAAAAATAAAATAAATAAATAAATTACTAATCATACTTTCTTTTTTAAGAAAAAAAAAAAAAAAAAAAAAAAAAAAAAAAAAAAAAACTAGATATTTTAATTTTTTGATATTCCCAACAATCAAAATGAATTTGAATTAGCATTCCTATACTGGATTTCTAAACTTCATAAAAACCCTTACAAACAAGGATACATAGCGGGTTCCAGTAAATGTTCTAAAAAGCCTCTTTCTTTACTCCTCACTAAAATATTATAGCAGCGAAGGAGAAAATTCAGGAGTGCTATACGACAATATATTCATGAAGTGGTGTAAATCAAATGTAGATAGTTAAAAAAATCCAAGGAACTTTTATAAAATTTGAAATTACAAAATTTTACCAAAATCATTAACATCAAAACATACTTTTCAGCACTTTATACAACCATTCCCTACGATAAATTAAAGTCTAGGCTTTTTGACATCATTGACAACTACTTTTTCAATAAAAATTGGAACTCGTAAATTTACTTACCATATCATTGGTCATTTGCAACATTATTTTTTGTAAAAAATAAAAAGATTATGACTGTACGCACAAATACTCTGAAGGTGACATTAAAAAGATGCTTGAGTTTCTGATTGACAATATCTAGTATGTAGTTTTTTGAATCCAGGTCTTCGGAATTTAAGACAAAAATTTACTAGAATATGCGACCACATGCACTTGACATTTTTATTTTTTTTTATTCATTCACTTGATTCACCCATGTGCCCTATTGCTATCTGCGTATTCCATCGTGCGTTTGTCGTAAACTTTTGAACATTCTCACCTTCTGGTCATGAACGGCTTAACAAATTCTAACCAGTATCGGTATGTAGCATGTATGGGTCAAAGGGGAACCAAAACTGTCAATTTCATGCCCCCACAGGACTGAGGGGTATGGCGAAAACCATCAATATTAATACAATTTCAAAAATCTTCTTTACTCCTAGACGTCAAGCAGTCAAACAGTCAAACTGTTGTCATGATTACATATGTATATCAAGCTCTGCGTCCTTTACTACAATTTTAAATTCATGGCCCCTAGGTCAGGGGCTTTGGTGTTAGCGTGGGGATCTTTAATAATATGGTGAAAATGCATTATTTCTTGAAAAATCTTCTCTGCTCCTGGGTATTGAATAAACAGTCTAAATGCATTGTTTTATGAGTCTCTTTTAATTAAGACTGTGAGATTCATGATCCCTGGGTAAGGGATTCTAGTGTTAGGGTGGGGTTCTATTGATTGTATGGTGAAAATGCATGATATCTTTTTGTCTTCTTCTCTGATCCTGTGAATTAAATTATTAAATAAACAAATTAAGTACATACATGTAGTTATAAAGAACAAGGGTGAATTGTGAAATTCGCGGCCCCTAGGTCAGGGGTTCCTGTGTAAGGGAGGGACTTTTTTGATTATATAGTGAAAATACATAAGTTCTTTTCAAAATCTGCCCCTGGGAATTTCAGACAGGGCCATCTTTAAAAAGAATGTTTGTTTTCCCTCTCCGACCGACTGTCTAAAAATGGCGCTACTCAACTTTTTTTAACCTCCAGGAAGCAATTAAACAATCATTATTCTAAAGTTGGCCCAAACTAATTGCGTAATTTTGATGAGCAAGGATACTTGTTTCAAAATTGTACATGTAAGTTTCATCGGCCATAGGTCAGGTTTCTTGTGTTAGGGAGAGGCTTTATTGATTATATAGTGAAAATGCATTAATTAATTCTTTTAAATTCTTCTTCTTTGCCCCATTTTAACAGACAAACTAACTGCATGGTTATGATGAGCAAGGATGCCTTTTCCAAAATTGTGAAATTCATGGCCCCTGGGTCAAGAACTCTGGTGTTAAGGCAGGGCTCTTTTGATTAATATACATAGTGAAAATGCATTTTTTTTTTTAATTGTCTTTTCTATTGCTGGGTTTTATGCAGATATACTCATCTATAGCTATCAATTTATTTTGACTGATTTATTTTATACTTCTGTGGATCCTTTACAGTGTTGTATTTTACTCAAGTGACCTTTAAGGCTCTTGGGTCTCTTGTTACGAAAAATAGAGTTCCATACCTGCTAGATAATGGAACTATTCTCCTTGCGCACTATTAATTGCCCGGGTGTGGCCAGGTGATCTTTTGATTGATAAGCACGGCTTCATAATCAAGGGGTAACAACATGTGTATAATAAAGACATTTTGCATTATTCACGAAATAATCCCTAGTTCGCTAATCCCTAGGTCGAAGCTCCCTTGGTCAGCTATTGATTTTTAGGTGACCCGGTATTTATAACCGAAAAGTGAGTAGAGTCGCCTGAATGGTAATTCAAAGGTCACTCCATCCGGTCACCTTTAGCGCAGTCACCTCTTTTATTTTCCAGTTCTGTGTCATTTCTAATGGTTTAAGCATAAATGACATGATCGAGGACGAAGTGTCATAGGGTGTTTCAGTATTCTGCCATACAGACAACGCAACTTACAATTAAATAAGTTTGATCACATTGCCAAAATGGGATGTAATACTTGTATTCCAAATAAGATATAAATTAAAAGTGCATAATGAAATATATATTTTTGAATCTTTTTTTTAAATTCGCATAAGTATGCACTGAATGCAAGAGCCCTTGCAAGCAATGTTTTCTACGCTACGGTTTGTGGATTGATCCCCACGACATTTTGGAATCCGGGGAATCAATGACCTAAACAGTATAGGTATACAGAAATCAAAAGTCGTTGCTTTTTATGTATTTTTATGCCGACTTACAATAGTTATCGCGAAATATTTTCCTTTTAATACACTGTGAACTTATATCCTTAGCTGGCTGGCACATTTTAATATATCCTATTTTATGTAATTGGTTCCAACCTGTTAAACCCGAAATTCAACAATCTTTCTTTTGTTTCAACATTCTACATATTATTATACCACAGAAAAAAATTGCATAAGTCTGCTCTCTAGGCCATTCTGTCGAAATCTTGATGCCGATTTTAATTTAAGGGCCACTGATGTAAATATAACACATTATGGTCCCTTTTCCCTAGATTTACTGAATATACAGAATCAGACATAACATATTTACATGAATTGTTATATATTTGCAAGTTGACGAAAATCTATATGTTTAAATCAGTTTCCTGAAAATAAAATTAACTTGTTCTCTAGACTACTTAAAATTCGACTTAATTACCTCCATCTCTGATATGAAAAAGAAAGTAAAAAAGAAAAAGAGGAAGAAAGAAAGAAACCCACCGATAATGATATTAACCAAATTACTGGTTTCTGTGGCAACTCAGATAATTTTTTCCTAAATTTAGTGTGTACTGGAACATAAACAATTTGTTTTGACACAGTGATGCATAATATAAAATATACACGCATCTACGTTAATTTTATAAACTAGATTTTTTTGCCAACAATGTCTTAGTTAAGTTAACTTACCTGTCCTTGGATAGCGGTAAATAATCATATAGTTCATTCCAAATTACAAGAGAGACAACAGGCAAGTAATTTACTTGCAAAGCTTTCAAGATGACAAATAAAACTATTTTTGCAAATAATCAAAAAAGAACCGTAACTCTGCTCTCTATTTGAGAGAAGGTTACAACCCGAATGACTAGACCGTTGCTATCCTGATTTTTATGAAGTTTATTACATTTCTAATCTGGCATTGCCACAATCATCCACAGTAAACAATGTCTCGTTGGTGTCCCTCGTTTGACCCTAATCTCCCTTTTCTGAGATGGGGCTGACTAATATAACTACGCCTGGAATTGAGAAGTAATGGGAACATTTGTAAGTTTCGGAGATATAAAAACATTTCTACATTGTTATGAAAGTGAATACATGCAGACACACAAGCACGCGAAAGAAAGAGAGAGAAGGCGAATCCCGCATGAATCATTGGTTAATACATGCATCATAATTGCGATGAATTCTGAATTTGATTTTGGGAAGTGGTATGTTTTTTGTTTTGTGAATTTTTTTTATTTAGAATTTTTAACTAAATTGCAAAAATTCAATAAAAAAAAATTAAAAACACACAAAATTTTCCAAGTTAAAATAATTTTTAAATCTTAAATCTGAATTTTGAACTGATTTACCCCTTTGCGTATAAAGCACATTTTACCGATAGGGTAGTCACCTCACTGTCATCGAATTGGCGCGTTTTGTATGGGCGACTCTGTAGCCCCCCCCCCCCCCCGAAACCATAATTGTACATGAAGTTCCTATTCAATGATGAACTTTCAAAGATATTATTTTTGTGAGATTTGTATCCCTGATAAATAAAATAAAATCTTCAATGAAAATCAAAAAAAAAAAAAAAAAAAAAAAAAAAAAAAGAACCTGTATAAATTAGTTTATTTTGATCTTGCATTTGATGCAATTACATGTATAAACATTAGAATTGTAAATAAACTTTAAAAAAAAACCCTTAAAACCTTTAACATATTATTCTTAGTTTACGTACATTTCTATTGCTCATATAAAAACTAAAAAGGTTGTCCCTCAAAAGAAAAAAGAATATATATACCTACACGGAATACTCTCAGGTTTTGTTTTTACTTTTGCGTCTAATATCTATTTATGGAACTACGTATAGCACTTTTTTATTCTTTGCTGTATCATAAATTATTTGTGATTATATGTCATAAATGTAAACTATTATATATATATATTTTAATCATGAGAACGACTTTAGTGACGTATATACGTGCATCAGAACTAAGGCGGAACGGCCTAGCTGATGCAGAAGCTATTTGACCTGTGTGTGACCCGTGTCTGAAATTAGATCGTAACCTTGTACTTTAACTGAAAACAAATATTCCTTTTGTTTTCTCAAGCAGGTTGTTTAATGATTCCAAGGTTTTCTTATCTTATATTTTGCTACTGTGGACTTTAACTTTTTGATTAAATACGTAGGCAAATGAACTTTATGTACTTTTATTCGCTAAGTACTGACATTTCTAACTGTTTGTTAAAATGTTCAATATCCCTATATTATTCTATAGTTTTTCATACCTCTTCCATTTTGTTTGATTTTACTAAAATTTAGAAGTGTGTCTTCATTATATTGCATAATTCTGAATATTAATTATTTATTAGAGACGTACATGTATATCAATATTTCACTGATAAAATGACATACATGTAAGAAAAAGCTGGAATGGTTATCGTTACATGGCTACAAATGAGCCATACCCTCAAAACAACGATAATTATGTGTCAACTCGATTGGTTAATTGGTAAGTAAGTCACAATTGAACATTGTCTTTAAAATAATAAATTCAGAAATTTTACTTAAATACGAAACTCTAGACTTCCTGGTTTTCTACCCCCCCCCCAAAAAAAAAAGAGAAAAAAACTTACCTAGTTCACTTGGGGCTTAAAGCAGCAGCAGGGATACTATTAACACAGGTCTACTCGTTATCCTTTCAACTTTTTGATCTAATCCAATGATTTCTGCTTATCCTCGGTCTTTATTTTTGAAATTGCAGGTGTTGGTACATGTATTAGAAGTCATGATATTTGAATCTAGGAAGCGGAGTATCTTTCTCACATCTTCAAAGATGTAATAAATTCCAGCAATATCATACTGTGAATTTCTTGTTTTGCAATATTTCTATTTCTCGTGGTGTTTCAGATCATTCATGTGTGCTGCTTAAATCAAATACGGACCCCCCCCCCCCCCCCGGAAACAGAACAGAGTGGAAATTTAACGGAAATAAGATAAACATCTCTTATTCTAGAAATAAGGTGAATTCGTGTTATTTGTATCAAAGGTAATGTTAAGGTGGTAAATTATCAAATTTTCAATAGAGTCATAATGTGAGAAAACCATGCTACAATGTAGCTGTTCCCACACTGAAAGCAGTGCAATATTATGTTCCAATTACGGCGTACTTAATTGTGTTTAATTAAATTTATAATTATTAATTTTGATGCGTTTTGAGAAGATGAATTTCATTTTATACTTAAATGCCCAAATTATAAAAATTTGAAAAAAATTATATCAAAAACTATTATGTCTGTCATCCAAGTGTTTATAAACTAGTAGAATTGTTGACCAATTCAAATACAAAGGAAATGTGTAACATTGGAAAATATATTTTTTTGCAAACAGATTAAGAAATGAACTGTTGGATTTATAAATGCTTTAATAACTAATTAGTCATACTTAATATTATACTTGACTCATTTGAAATGTTCTATTGTGTACTATATGTTTGTTAGTTTGTTGTTTTAACGTCCCTCTCGAGAATGTTTCATTCATATGGAGACGCCACCAATGGATTGCCGCGGTGGAGAGCTGCAAATTTTGACCTATACTCGGCACGTAGGGCCATTGAGCAGTGAGGAATTTTTTTCGTGCTAGCACCTACTGCGACACGGGACCTCGGCTTAAACGGTCTCATCCGAAGAACTGGTGTCCACAGTGGGATTCGAACCCGCGACGTAAGGATCAGCTCCTTACTCCGCGACTCTACAGCTGACGCTCTAACCACTGCGCCACGCGGGCGACGTGTACTAAATGTAAAATGTATTATACCTATGAGATTAATGTCTCTCAGTTTTAATCTGAAAATCTGAGAAATTTCTTAAGTTGCATTGCTTGGTACTGGTCTTTCTTATTAACCTCCCAGGCTTAATTGATGAGCGTCACAAGTGCTAGTTAATAAGGCGTTAGATTCCCCTTTAGATCCCCTTTTCTAAATTGTTTTGCATAAACACTCTTTTTTTTTTTTTACATCATTATCTGTATCAACAAACATACAGTAAAAATAGATCGCCACTTTATAAGCATATTGAGGAAAAATAGATAATTATGCAAAACAGAAAAATTTTACAAAAGTTTGGCCGTTTCAATATCTTAAATTTTCAATCTTCATATTGAATTCACTGTATGATTCTATCAAGTATTGATTTAAATTTTTCTTCAAAAATATTTGACAAAGCAATCGGGTCTTTTTTATGCAAAATGGTGTTTTATGGGGGAAAAAGTTTCAACTACTCTTTATTAATTTGTGTCAGTGATGATTGCTTAACCTTAAAGCATACTGTGGAATTATTCAAGACAGGTCACTGAGGTCAGTCTAAATCGCAATTAAACGGTTGTAGTTGTTTGTTTGTTTGCTTGCTTGTTTTTAAAACTTTTCTCTCGTATTGAGACGCCACGACTTGGAGGGCTGAAAAATTAGACCTGTACTTGGCACTTACAGCCTTTGAGCAGCGAAGGATCTTTTTTCGTGCCAGCACCTACGGCGACTTGTGATCTCGGTTTATATGGTTTCCATGTCACAAAGTGGATTCGAACCCGCGATGTAAGGACCAACAAGGATCAACTCCCTACTCGGCGACGCTAGAGCAAACGTTCTAACCACTGCGCCAACGTAGGCGACAGGTTGTGATAATGGGCTATGAAACAGAATCCCATACGAAGACACATTCACATGCTCCGGAAATGTCCTTTATATGTATTAATTAAATATCACTTAGTTAATAAAAGTAAATTTGATATGTCTTTCGTTGCTTTTTGCTGTTAAAGCATAAACATATATCAGTACGATCGTATTGAAGTCGTATCTGACTCAAGACATGAACTCATGTAGTATCTTGTATTTTATTAGCAGTGTATGTTTTTCATTTTTAGCTCACCTGAGCCGAAGGTTCAAGTGAGCTTTTCTGATCAAAATTTGTCCGTTGTCTGTCGTCGTCGGCGTCGTCTGCGTCGTTGTTGTCGTAAACTTTTCACATTTTCATCTTTTTCTCCAGAACTACTGGGCCAATTTCAATCAAATTTGGCACAAAGTATCCTTGGGTGAAGGGGTTTCAAGTTTGTTCAAATGAAGGGCAACGCCCTCCTCCAAGGGGAGATAATTACGAAATAGCAAAAAATTAATGGCATTATTGAAAAATCTTCTTCTCAAGAACCAGTGGGCCAGGAAAGATGAAACTCATGTGGAATTATTGTCAGGTAGTGTAGATTCAATTTTATACAAATCATGACCCCCGGGGGTAGGGTGGGGCCACAATGAACGATCAAAGTTTTACATAGGAATATATAGGAAAAATCTTCAAAAATCTTCTTCTCAAGAACAGCAAAGCTATGATTGGTCATATTTATATGGAAGCATCCTCAGGTGGTGTAGATTCAAGTTTGTTCAAATCATGACCCCCAGGGGTAGGATGGGGCCAAAATGGACGATCAATGTTTAACATAGGTGTACATAGGAAAAATCTTCAAAAATCTTCTTCTCAAGAACAGCAAAGCTATGATGGGTCATATTTATTTGGAAGCATCCTCAGGTGGTGTAGATTCAAGTTTGTACAAATCATGACCCCCGTGGGTAGGGTGGGGCCACAATGGACGATCAAAGATTTACATTGGAATATATAGGAAAAATCTTCTAAAATCTTCTTCTCAAGAACAGCAAAGCCATGATTGGTCATATTTATGTGGAAGCATCCTCAGGTGGTGTAGATTCAAGTTTGTTCAAATCATGACTCCCAGGGGTAGGGTGGGGCCAAAATGGACGATCAATGTTTAACATAGGTGTACATAGGAAAAATCTTCAAAAATCTTCTTCTCAAGAACAGCAAAGCTATGATTGGTCATATTTATGTGGAAGCATCCTCAGGTGGTGTAGATTCAAGTTTGTTCAAATCATGACTCCTGGGGGTAGGGTGGGGCAACAATGTATGATCAAAGTTTTACATAGGAATATATAGGAAAAATCTTTAAAAATCTCAAGAACAGCAAAGCTACGGTTTGTCATATTTATACGGAAGCATCCTCAGATAGTGTAGATTCAAGTTTGTTCAAATCATGACCCCCGCCCCCCCCCCCCACTCCCTTTTTAGGGGTAGGTTGGGACCACTTATGCATTTATGCTTTTCAATACTAAACTGATTTTTCCTTTTTTCCTAGCCACAGTGCTCAGGTGAGCGATCTGGCCCTTGGGCCTCTTGTTTACTTATTGTACTGGACATTTTCGGTTGGGTGAACATTTACAAAATAGCAACTATGGATCTTCAGTATGGAGCGCATTGTGCACTAAAAATATTGCGTAGTATTTTAAACTGCTTTATACATGTACACCTGGAGTGGGATATAATTAATATATATAATATATATGCTATGATATTGTTTATTGTGCATCTTGATATTGCGAAACGTAAAAACATGTAACAAGGGATCTATATACTTAATATAAACAATGTATTTCCTGATGTAAAGTATTGATTTTCTACTCATTACGTTATATCTATTATGTTGCAAAAATATTAACTTACACAATTTATGATAAGCTTATCAAAGTTATGTGCAATATTATATTTAGTATGTGTACTACTGATCTAACTATATTGTTTAACAAAGTAAGTGAACAATGAATTGGACCTCTAAGTTATTAATCTGTATTATGTGCATTTATGTTATATGATCGAGGCCCCTTATTTGGAAAATAAGTTCTTTTCTATAGAAGTAGAAGTAAAAATATTAATTATAATTGAAATGTAAACATCTTCATCACATTTAAACTTACCTTTTCCCCCTAAAAATGTATACACAGAACACACTTATTTTGAGGATCCACTGCAATCATCTAGCATTTCCATCTGTTGCATGTGGGCTCAGAGTGAAATGCATCCTATGCATCCGGAACATGTGAGTTTTGTGCGGACATGACGCAGGGACCACTTTCCTGGATTGCAGTTTCATGCTATCCTTTTTTATGAATTAATTTTTTAATAGACATAATTAAATTTTTAATACATTTACTTTGTCATATAAAGCTTTATTTCAACGAAAAAAATACTTATTTCGCAGTTGAGCAAGGATTTGTTCACTCCTGACATTTGGAAATAAAAGTTTATTCGATGAGAATTTCGAGAAACCTTAATTCTTACGCGAATGTCAGGAGGAAAAGTTCATTCAATCTAAAGGAAGCATACTTTTTGGGATACCTTTTAATGTAATATTGAACATATTATTAAAATGAAGAAGTAGGAAATAAATATCTGAGTTTTTCACACTTTTTCATATGACCTCAAATAATTTCTCAGGCTTCCATACTGTACGATAATCTGATGATACAACATCAATTCTTATTTTTCATCAATGTTTAATTTGATGATTATTGTTGACAGAATGCTGGTAAAGATTTTTTTTATTATAATACTTAGTATACAAGGTTTGTGATAAAAAGAACCCAACCGATATTTAAAAGACGACATTGATAGAATAAAAAATTGATAGATTGAATATATTGACTGGAATGCTACATGACTTGTAGTCACTGTAATAGTATGCTTATTTTAAAATGCTAGCTAAGAGTTCCCCCCCCCCCCTAACTTAATGTTGCTGCTAGATGGTTATGCTGATTGATTTTCGGGTGATACTAGTACAACCATCACGGTTGTCCTGGTACATGTAGTTATAAATGTTGAATTTTTTGCTGTTTCTGATTTATATGACAGAAAAATTCCTGTAGTCTTTTGCAAATTTCGTCCACTAAATAAGAATTTGTCATTTATGAAATATCACACATACCTAAAATGTATACGAAATTTAACATTATTTTTAAATTTCCTTTTCTATTACTGTAATTCCTTTTTGACTCTAGTTAGTTTGAAAAAAAAGAATAATCACTATGTTATTCTATATTAAATGGTATTCTTGTATAAAAGGTTTGAAAAAGTAATTTTAAAATGATCGAAGATAAAACTTTTAATTTTACATTTACGCGATCAGTACAACTTGAAACAGGACTTCATAAACATTGTACCAAGTCTTAAAGTTGCGGCCATTGTTTAAAATGCCTACTACAATAATCGGAGACACATATAATAAAATTGAATTTATCAAATCATTATCATTAAATATAATCTGCATAATTGGTCCTTTCCTTTCCTCAAAACACGTCAAAAAGTCTTGAAAACAATTCATCAGTAGCTTTCTTTGACTCTTTAGAGGCTACACAGATTATATTTATCTCCACACTTTCCTCACGTCATCTCAAATTAAACTAATTTTTCCCTACCTGTATTGTTTTCTTGTGACAAGACCATAGGGCGAAAAAAGGAAGATAAACAAGGGGAATTATCGAAAGCGCAGACATCAGATGTGGAGGTATATTACTCCTTCATGAATTTTTAACCTTTTACTGGATGAGTAAATTTTAACTTATGAAAGAGTAACTTTTTCACTAAAATTCATCTAAAAAATATTTACTTCTTTGTCAGAATTGTGAAATAAGAATTTTTTTATGCATATAATGTAACGTTTGGCATAGAGCTAATAATAATATATTGGAATATTAGCGTATTAAACAAGTTTAAGGATATGACAGAAGCTGCATAGCAAAGAATGATGTCGTGTAATATGCGCACAACTGATAACATTCATTGTATGCATCGGATGTAATCAACTGTGATCAACCAAACACAAAACCATTTCTATTCTCACTACAAAATCAGGTATTTTATTGTATTTCGCCATTTTCCATATCACTTATTAATAAAGAACTACTTTCTATATTGGTCTCCAGCTTTTCATTAAGAGAATCAAGATCACTGTCACAGTGTTCGCTTCCTCTGAGATCAGTCTCGTTCATATGTTCTTCTACCGCATCACCTTCCTGAATAACGATTGTCTCTCTGATTTCCTTTATTTTATTTGTATCTCGATCATTGGCTCCTGAGCACCATGCAAAGGTGGAGCCAATCAGAATTATTGCACCTGTAATGAGACATTAGGATACATAATATGCCACATGTATATGTTTACCTCTTAAGAGTCAACCATAAAACGATCTTCATATATGCTTGTATGATATTCAACAATATTCAAAATTAAGAAACCGTAGTATGAATATTCTAACATTATTCATTTCCGAGGATAAAGAATTCGAAGCACTAATTTTAGCAGTAAAAATATGTAAAACTGATTAGTATTTCCTATCCCTTACCTGAAACTGTGATGGACTGACTATATGTCCCACCGAAGTTGACAATGAAACCTACAAGTTCATTTTTAAGAAATTAAATTTTAGGGGGGGGGGGGGTCGTACATAAAATAGTGATGTAATTTGAATTCAATTAAAATGGACGTATACATTAGATAAGTACCTCCAAGTAAAGGTCCCATGAAACAACCAAGACCCGTGAAGAGCAAGATAAATCCAAAAACAGTGGCCAAGTTGTCGATGCCACCTAAAATCACACATATAGAGTTCAACAGGGGATAACAGGAACCTGAGTATATTCCCAGTGTCACAACATAAAACACCTGACCACCGTAATTTTCTCCATATAGTGGAAACACTACTGTTGATAATCCCATTAGACTGAAAGCTCCTGCAAATAATACAAATTCATCCATATTGCTAGCATTTGCGGCTGAACCGATTAAAATGCGAGAAAGGCAGTTGCAGATACCACATATCGAAAAAAGGAAAGCAGCGTCCAACTTCCTGTATCCAACAGACGTCACATAACTTCCAAAATGGACGTAAATGAGAGAAATTCCTAAATTACAAAGAAACATGGACAGATAAACATTTAAGAGAGCTTTTTGCGACAAAACGTTGCATCCGTTTTTCAATCTACTAAACTTATGTGACATTTTATTGCTGTCACATTTCGACAAGATTGCGTCTTCAGATTCCTTATTCTTTCGACTTATTTCTAATTTTGACGGAAAAAGCATAGCACCGAACACGCAATATTGCAAAGTCAGCCCTGCACACATCAGCCATAATCCGTGATAGCCATAGTGATCGCTAACAGCTTGCATCAGTGGTGCAAGGGCAAATGCCCCAATCCCAACTCCAGAAACTGCTACTCCACTTGCAAAGTTCCTCTTCTTCTCAAAGTTGTACCCAACAACAACTACAGATGATGCATAACATATTCCAATAGCAGTACCTTTGAAAAGAGTTATAAAACATTTCAATGTTTTAGCCTTCCTATCAGTCACTAAATTTTGGTTGAAATATTTTACAATTGATATAAATCAATGAACATTCACCAATTTTGTTAACAAGGTTAATTCAATTCTAGCAATATCCCTATAGCAAATTTTGCAAATTTATGAGGCTAAAACTATAGTTACGGTAATGATTTGTTGTATAAACATAACGTTGATCTTGGACATTATCAAAGTGCCCCTACCTCCCAATATTCCCAGTGAAAATAAAACCGTAATAATATTTGGCATAAAGGCAGTCATGACATGGCTTATGGACACAGCCAATCCACCAGTAAAAAAGGAAACTCTACAACTCCATCTGTTGGCTATCAAACTTGCAAGTGGTCCTGAAAAACCGAAGAATATTTAGCCACAAGTTGATTCTTGTCGTTTAAAAAACATTAGTATTTAAAATTTGATTAAGAAACTGATGAATCTATCCACTCCTTTATTTATAACTGTATTGCATTGTAACATTTTATTGCAGAAAATGACTTTCAATAATTTTTGCTCACTTTCTATCCTGTATATTCATCAGTTCTTAAATATTTATTATAAACAATCATTGTTTTAGTCCAGACCAGCAATCAGCTGTTGGCAAGTAAAAATAGAGCAATATACCTGATATAGAAAACAATCCCAGGAAAATCGAAAGCGCCCATGAAGTTTTCAATACGCCTTCCTTATAGTGGTCCAGTAATGAGAGCTGAAGCAGCCCAACAGCGGTCAAAAAGAAACCATGGATGCAATGAGATCCAAAAGAGGCTAAAAGAACGGCCCAGGACCACCCCTGGTCTGGTAAGGTATAGTATCTAGCCATGGTTAAGAACGATTCATAATGATGGTATTGTTATTTGTATATCGATTCTCTCCTCCTATAAATAACCCTGAAATGAAAAACATTTTTATCAGATAACTAAAGCGCATATTATTTTTTTCTTCAACACACAATACTGATAAAAAGAAAAGTACGTTGGACAAAGACAATCTTTCGTTGGAGTTTAAATTTAATTTCACTAAAGAAAAAAAAAAAATCCAGTGAAAATGAGACAATAGAGACAACAAAATTAATTGCTATACTCTTTATATTTTGATGGCTTTCTCTTTTAGAGATTTAATTTGTAGCGTGTTAGGAAATGCTTAAATGACAATTAACATATCAGCTAAAATGCAAGGTTAGGAAAAGTTTATAAAGTACCCCCCATCTCCATATTTCGTATTCTTCTGTAGGAGGAAAAGGAGGTTCCGGGCAAAAAAGAAAATCAATTGATAATTACGGCAAGCTAGCATCAGTCTAACGACACTAAAGGCACGAAAGATTTTTTTCTCATCATGACATTATCACTATGACGTTTGATTAAAACCGGTATGGATTTTCCCCAAGTTTTGTGTGTGTGTGTGTGTGTGTGTGTGTGTGTGGCTTGATGGCATTCTGAGAAGGGCCGAGCTATGGTATCATCACTCTGATCACTGTACATACTCTTCTCAATATATGTTTCAATTCAATCAAATATATTATTCCAATAATCGCCAATAGTTTCATCTTTTGATTTTTATTTAAAAACCAGATAAAGGAATTTGGTACATAACAATTGAGGGAAAAGTTTATATATATATAGTACTACTTGTATTAATATTGATTAAGAGTTAACTGACGTCTAGAGTATTGACTCTGCACATATAGGAATTAAATACAGTAACAAATAGAAGCTTGATAATGAAGAATAGTAATTACTGTATTTACCAGATACATGGCGTCCCTGAGATAAATCTTTGTCTTGTCACATCAAGAATCATAAACAATTGTTCAAATACAATATATCCATTGACTCCATAAGATACATATTGATTCTCTGTAATTGCAGAATCGGTAACGGAGAATAGGAATAAAGACGAAAAGTTTGGTAAAATTATCAAAAGAATAGAATAGAAAAATCCATCGATAATTTAATTGTATCAACATCAATTGTACACGACCACAAATTAACAAGTGGGTCAATAATTAACATTTATACAAGAGTTTAGACAGCTAGTGTATAAACAAAGCTGAAACTGCGGAACATAACTTGTATAAACAATATCTAGTGGTGAATATTTTTGATCTTGTAAAATATACCGATGAAGGTTGTAAATTTTCGTAATTTTTTGTAAATTAGTCGATGGAAACAAAGACTAACAAGTCAGATACATTGCAATTTAAAAATCCAAATTAAACAGTTTAACAACATTTCACCTTCATCCACTCTTCAAAATAAGTGTATGTTTTCAACATGTTGTACAATATCAATTTTAAAATTTTAAAAAAATGATACTGTATATCATTTTGAAACGTAGACCTACAGTGTACGATAGGTTGTATTTGTAAAGAAGATAACATCAACTTATTTGTAAGTAGTTTTCCTTGGTTAAAAAAATATTGGGTGCCTAATAAGTTTCGAGGCATAAACACCATATGCATGCAATTGACAGTTCAATACTGTAAACGTATTTTATTTAGATGTGTATTCAATTTAGCGCCTTTTGCAGAAAGCAACTTCCGCTTAATCAAGCGTATTTCTAATGTCTTGTGATCTATATTGATACAAAGCACATTCAGAAAGAGCAAAATCAAATCCACGCAAACTTTGAAATTTCAATTTCCGCCATTTATCGTACACGCAAAATAAGATACATTTATAGTATAAGTACATATACATAAGGAAAGTTGAAGTCATCCTGTCTGTCGTACAGTGTAATTGTTAGTTGGATTTTAACGTTTATAGTCAGAAATGCATCCAAGTTTGAAACAGATGTGACAGACTCTAAAGTTGTCTTTCATTTCGAGCTACGGTGTAACTAGGATATAATTGACACATGAATGAGAATAACTATAATTGTTAATGAATTGAAAGCCACAGCAAGAGTTTACTTCTTCTCATGTAGATATTTTGAATAAATTCTGCTTCATAAGAGTAAAAAAAAACAGGTTTGATAGTGAAGTTGAGCAATTAGTGTTCGTCGGAATTGCAACAAATTGTTAAAAGATTCTGTTCTTCAAAGACGACATACATGTATATTTCGTCAATGAGGAACTCCAGCATCTTTTTGATATTAATTTCAGAGTACTGGTGATATTTATCAAAGTTAGTTAATTTTCTTGAAATGATCTAAATATATTAAGACAGCAGCAGATTTATTTCTTATCGTAAAGCTATAATGTTGCTTTCTTCTTTCTATGTTTATAAAAAATACCGAGTTCAGTAATTAACATCAGCATTTAGAACTTACGGGTTTCAATATGCTTTTTTGTATTTGAATTTGTTATATATATATATATATATATATATATATATATATATATATATATATATATATATATATGAGTAAGAACATATATTTATCAGGCAGAGCGAAATCATGTTTACCATTATGAGATTTGGGTAGACTATGTTGAAGGATTCTACTTGAAAAGATGAATTCCTAAAGATGTCTGTAAACTAAAATTTTTTAAAATATATTGTAATAAAATTTTGTGTAGGTCTATTTTTGTGGACCCTCTACTTCTACATAACACTTTCAAAGAAATAGAACACATACAGTAAAAGTCAAATTAACTTGAGTATGTAGACATTTCAAAAGATTTCAGAATCTGTAATAAATGTATTCTGGATAGTTTGTTGCAAAATTCCAGGTGAATAAAGAATGTGTTATTGACCAATACCATTAGACCAGGCTTAAAAGGAAAATTTAAATGAAAATAATCCCATACAGGCGTTCAAAAGGTGAAGGAGAGTAAATAATAGTTAATCTGAAAGGTCATGGTGTATCCCTTCAAAGCCGTCTATAAACATTTCATAATACGTTTTCAAAAATAGTTACATTAAATTGTGCGGATGATATGTAAGATTCTCGTTGGAGAAATTAATCAATGTAAATAAATGAGCTTTACCTATTAGATCTAACATCCTATTGTGAGGTTCTTGGTCTTCCCTACTGCCTGCTACTAATGCCAATACACGAATTAGTGTACTTTTGTGGTCTATCAAGTATATCTCGTGACACAGAGTAATATATATGTTATGTGTAAAGGTTTGATTTACTTTAAAATGCAACATAATTGTTAGACACTTGAGAAAAGGGGAAAAAACAGCCCAGGGTGTGATATGCACTTTTTGTATTGCATTTTTTAAAAATTAGAATAACTAAACACATGATGCAAGATATACGTGTACATTTAAGTAAATTTGCAATTTTCCATGACTCATTTAAAGAATCCTTTTTTAAAAAATCTAAATAATTGTGGAGAAAATACCGCAAAATAGAAAATGAAAATACTTGATTGATAAATAAATATGCATCTCAGATGCTTACTCCTCCATGACACCTGATCCCACCTCTAGGGCTTTTGATGGTCCGTGTTTGCTCTGCTCCAAATTTTTATTGTTTTAAAGAACGTTTGAGCTTGATTTCTTTTCGTTATATTCATATTTTATGCATGGAAATGCAATATTAGTTAAAATATACTCTTGTACGTATCAATTGAAATAAAAGCTGCTACTTGAATTAATGTCTTCTCGTTTATTTACTCCAAACAACTGCGTAGTGATTTAATTTCAAGTTTGTTCGAGTGTAACTGTAATTTTAGGTTTAAAATGAAATTTAATAGATTTGTTTTTATATCCTTATTCAAGCAGAACCCTACCTTAAGTTTGAAATTTCCAAGACGTATTCCTCCTGTATAGAATGCTGGGGTATTTTTGCATTTTAATCCCTCCATTTAAAAAACCATTATAAGTCTGACAATGTCCAACTCAAAGCCTCATATAAACACACACTCCTTGCTCTGGTAGATATTGTTTCTTCAACCAGTGTTGTAATATTATATTTTAAACGCTTATTCAATCACAATACAAATAAAGGTCTTCTGTAATGAAATATCAAGGTCACTTTATGTTCATTTAAAAAGCACACAGAAACCCCCGACTAGACAACGTGAGATTTTGCATAAATAGAAATATCTTGTGTAACTATATATAATGTATCAGATATTAAAGACCTGTAAAATATAGACATTTAGTTGACAATTTTTGATCGAAGAAACAAAATCGATTTCAATAATAATACAACTTTCAGTTCAAACACTGGTGGCAATTTATCAGTTTATCAGAGTAATTTCATGCAATTAACAATTAGAATAATTACATTGTGTGTTGCATTATGTTGTTGATCAAGGATCTTCAGCAAAATCGTATGCTTGTGTTTTCTCTTTTCTACTCTGAAAATAAATAAATATATAAGATTTTTAATTCAAATAATTTTCATGTACTCATTTCTGATGTCTCTTTGATTTGCTATTGTAAAAAACTTTGATACTATGTTAACTATTGCTAAATTATAATATTTTTTGTTAAGGCAAAAGATATTTTAATTGATCTCTTAATCTTCAATTGATTTGATTGATTGATTATCTCACTCTCTCTTTCTTTCTCTCTCTCATTCAAAATCTGCAAATATGTAAATCAATGCACACACTCCTCGTCCTAACTGGAATTGGTTATCCAAATATTCCAAGGTGATAATTATGGAGAGTAGAATAGGAATCTACAGAGGTCACACTTACCTGAGATATATACAGATAGGTCAGAAACATTTCAAGTAATCAAATTCATAATGTAACTTTTCCAGCAAGAAAAAAAAGCATCAATGACAAGTGTTCCGACACTGCATAAAGCCATTTAAACAATGTTGTTTGGTCAGTTTTAGCAAAAAATTATGTTTTTCTGCAGGAAAAAAATTGAAATATTTAGGTGAGAAAATCAGTCACAAGACTGTTCTATGTAGTGCTTTTCTTTTCTTTTTCTTTTTGGAGGACCAAAACCTGTAGCCCTATACGAATTCTTTTAAATTACACAGAAAGAAAAGGAAAAAGGATTTTTTCTTTTAAATCTTTGGGCCCCGGGAAAACGTTTTGTTTTTATCGCTAGGGATATTTTTCTGCAGACAAGGTGTAAAACTTTAATCTGGCAGGTTACTGCTTTACACGGAACTTCCTACTAAAAATGAACTTATTTGGTAAGCTCTGTTTTTTTTATTGTAATGTGCTATTTATAATAAGACCTATAACATGAAACACAAGGATTTGTGATGGCAAAATTTGTTTCATATGCATATGGACATACATGCAGTTTTTCTGGCACAACGAGAACCTCGCTTGATCTGTAAGATGTTGTAATGGTTTTCTCTTGCAAAGGTCATTTACTGTTTATATATTTATAACAAATTTTGTTAGATATGGCCTTGTGAGTTTTTGGGAAAAAAAATTAAAAATAGAAATCATACAGACAACAGGGAACAAATGAGTTCGATTATCTTGCGCCATTCTCTGGTTCAGACAAACTCGTTATACTGTATACAGGGAAATTTTCGCCCCCCCCTGTTTTATTTTCGCCCTAATCACAAATGGACGAATTTAAAACGGGGCGAATTCAAAATATACAATATCATTTTTTAAACAGAATTGTGACTGGGCGTTTTTAAAAGGGGACAAAATTATTCGCAAGTGCGAAAGGGCGAAAATAACACGGGGCGAAAATAACCCTGTATACAGTATATTCTAAATGTTCAAAAATGCAATCAGGCTTCCCAAATGTTTACACAAAGTTTCAAATGCTTTTAAATTATTGAGAATTGCAAAACAACATATCGATGCAGAGTGCTGGATACAAAGCTCATATATATACCCAAAGTCCCTCCCTTCAAACCATTATAACTGTGATTTTCATTGTACTCCAATGCATTTTATATATGGTTTTGACAAAAACCACTCAATTCACCGTCTTTCCTTCATCTTTGTAGAGTCAGGAAATATTTTAAATGCAGAGAAAAGTGCTTTTGAGTAAAAATAAAAAGAATACGTACTGTGCTTGTTAAAAGGTTCGGTGAAGACAAACCTACTCAAACAGTGTGAATATATTCTGCATTAACAAGAATCCTCACAAATAGTATGCATCAACAAACATGTGCACACTTTTACATCAAAATATCTGTAAAACTATAGGGTTTGAGACAATTATTTTAATCAGAAAATAAACATATTAAACTATTTACAATGTACTTAAGATAGAGTGCATTGACCTATAATCCAATCGGGATATGGAAGTGTAAGACTCTTCCGTAATAATAAACCTGGTAATCGGATTGATGACAGGATGTTTTTCTATCTTGGGACGACGATGCAGGAACAGTAACGGAACATTGCTAAAAATTATCTTAACATTATTTTAACTTTTGCACAATACTGGAACGTTGGACTGAAGCTTATTTAAATTTATGTTTCAATTACAATTTATTTTATAAAATTCCAGGATTTTGTACAAATTTATTGAATAACTTGTTTACTTGAATCTGTTTGTCTATTTCATACGTAAATGAGTATTATGTATTGTACATTATAAAATACGATCTACGGCGCTCTTCAAGAGAGCCACTATACGATCAGCTGTACGACTCACAACTTTCAGTTATTAAACTCTTTGCAAACATTTTGATTCATTGGCTTACATATCTAGCAACGTTGTCAACAACAGGAAATTTGTTTGAATCACAATGAACAAAGTCAAGTAAATGTAGGTCGATTTTTACGAAATGATATATATCTTACATGCATAAAAAGGAACAACACACATTTTTTATTGACAGCGCCAGTAAAACCGTGCTTTAGTAAAATTTTGAAATAGCTTTTTTAATTAACTCAATGTTACATATTTTTGTTGCTTTAGTTTTTTATACAAAAAAATATAATACAATGTATGAAATGAAGTGTGTCGGACAGTGGAAGCTTTCAAAATTTTATTACCTTAAACTTGAAATTCATTTTTTTATTCCTTTGAAGCTCGGTTTGGGGTAAAACTAAGAGATCAGAACAATTCTTCTTATACAGTACATCCTTTCTTGTACCGTTAGTTTACATTTCAGGAAGTCATACCTACTTATTTTCAGAAAGTGTTTCAATCAAATAATTCGCTCATTTCATTCAATACAAAAATCACCTTGGACACATCAAGAATTGGCAAAAGCTCAAAAGTTTCACAAATAAATCATTTATTTTCTTGTATACCATCACAATCATGAAGATTTGAGATGAATGGAGTTTCTTCAATGTATGCGTCGTCCTTGACCTTTTTCGTGTAGATATTGTCTCTGACCCTCTCCACCTGTAAACATTCAGATTTGCTGCTCCCCTTTATAACACAATAATTTGTCCCTGGATCATTTCCATAATCCTCTATCTTTCCGACATTATCAATGTTGCTTATGAGATTTTCTTGAACTACTTCACTTTCATGATAAACAATCGTCTCTCCTGGGGTTTTCGTATGTTTTCCACGACGTCCGCCTACCCCAGAGCCCCAAGCAAAAACAGAACCAATGATAATTATTACACCTGGAAAGAGACATCGTAAAATCTGTGATCCCTATTGTTTATTTGCGATATATGCATAATAGAAATTAGATTTTAAAAAATACTATACAAGTACATCATATTTAAAATCTATTTTCTGTATGTGTCTCCTGGGTGGCTAGAGCGTTCGCTCTAGAGTCGCGAAGTAAGGAGTTGATCCTTACGTCGAGGGTTCGAATCCCACTGTGGGACGTGAAGATCGGTCTTTTGGATGAGAATGTATAAACCGAGGTCCCGTGTCGCAGTAGGTGTTAGCACGAAAAAGATCCCTCACTGCTCAATGGCTCTGCGTGTTGAGTATAGGTCAAAATTTGCAGCTCTCCATCTGCAAGTGCTTTCGTCTGAAAAATTCTCGAAAGGGACGTTAAACAATAAACAAACTATTTGTAATACATGTAAACTTTCTATGAGAATCATTTGCATAGTTTTCGTTTATTTATTTTCAATATGAAATAAAGAATATCATGGTAAAATGCAGACAATGTCAGATGATTGTGGATTCTTACCCGCCACACCAATAGACTGGCTGTATGTTCCGCCAAGGTCAACAATAAAACCTAAGAAGTGAATTTTACTATTGGTATTTGTAAAAATTATGAAACACTTTAAGACAACAATAAAAAAATGTTATAATTTGTTAATCAATATTAAACTTATTTTTTCAAAAAACCAAATATAACACTATATAATTACTGCATTTAGTTGAGTGTAGCATTGAAAATTTTCACCCCAAGAAAACCATTGTAAACCGAGGCGCGCCAGCCGAGATTGACAATGGTTTTCGAGGGGTAAAATTTTCAGTAATACACTTAATTTCATGCAATAATCATTATATCATATACTGGATGTTTTATACAAATACATATTACAGTGCACCTTGCGCGCATAAATTCTGTGCTGTCAATATTATTTGCAGTATCACCAGTCGTTAATATTTGCTACACTGGAGGACGTGGCTTCATTTTTCAGCGGGTAATAGTATTTTTTACAAATTTTCTCGACGAATCAGATTCAACTTATTTACATGAAAGTATAAAATATATATTTACCTCCTAGCAGAGGCCCTATAAAACAACCTATGCCGGTGAAAAACGAAATCAAGCCATACACTGTGGCTAGATTGGTGATCCCAGCAAGAATAACGCATATGGTATTTAACAGGACAAAACAGATTCCAGAGTAAAATCCGAATGTCACCATATAAAACACCTGTCCACTATAAGTTTGTCCGTACAGCGGAAATAGTGCTGTTGTAAAACCCGTTAGACTAAATGTCCCTGCGTATAGTAAAAATTCGTCGATATTATTGGCATTTGTGGCAGAACCGACCAGAATTCGAGAAATGCAATTGCAGATTCCACATATGGAAAAAAGAAAAGCCGCCTCCAATTTGCTGAATCCTATAGATGTTACATAACTTGCAAAATGAAGATATACCAGATAAATCCCTAAATTACACAGGAACATAGATATATAAACGTTTATAAGTGCTTTTTGTGATACAACTCTGCATACATCTCTCTGCCTCTTGACTTTTGATGATAGTTGTTCACCGTCACAATTCGAGGCTTTTCTTTCTCCTTTTTTTCGATCCATTTCCAGCTTCGAAGGAAAAAGTAAGAAACCAAAAACACAGTAGTGTAATGTAAGACCTCCACACATAAACATTAATCCATGGTATCCATAGTGATTACTAACAGATTGCATCAATGGCGCCAGAGCAAAAGACCCAATACCGATACCCGATACAGCTACTCCACTTGCAAAGTTTCTTTTCTTCTCAAAGTTGTATCCAATAACAACAATAGACGGTGTGAAGGCTAATCCTATCCCAACACCTTCAAAAAAGACAACTTAATAATTCAATAATGTTTAGAATATACTTATCTTATATTTCATTGATATTTGATTGAATCTGATTGAGCTTCTGATTACAGTTTCTTAGCTTCTTTAATAGAAAACGAAAGGAGTTGAAAAAATAACTTTTCAAAAAAAAATTCTTTGATGCTTACTCCTCCTAGGCACATGATCAGTCCTTTAGAATATCCGGGGGTATGTTTTATACCCTGTTAACAGATTTTTTCTTAAAAAGATCGCTGCTCGATATCTTAACCTTTTTCAATGATCAAAAATATACTGTTATCAATTTCTTCTTAACTTTTTACATTTTGATTCTTTTATGAAGTATTTTACCACCAAATATTCCCAGTGAAAAGAAAACAAGAATGATATTCGGCATAAAGGCAGTCATCAGGAGGCTTAAAGACACAATAAGTCCGCCTGCTATCATTGATACTCGACAACTCCATTTATTGACTACCAAACTTGCAAATGGTCCTGAAACACAGAGAAAAACAAGGCCTTACAAATGATTCTTTTCTGTTAACAAAAAATCCATTAATCACAACTGTCTTCAATGACTTTCCCTATGTGACCCTTTGTGATTGGTTTTACTTTATTATTAATCTAAACAACCTTAAATGTTGCAATATGAAAACACGGCATTTTCATTTTGGGTAGAAAGCCTTTCTTTCGTTTTTTTTTAAATTCTCTATAAAAAAAAAATTAGCACCAGTGAGTACTTTAATAGGTATCAACACATAAATTATCTTCATATTGATCGTCTGTACTTGGATTTTCACTTATATTTTTTATTTGTATTACCGAACAACATGATTTTTTAGCGGAGTGATAACGCTTTCTTATTTTAGCGCTTTGGTAGCAGCCCAATAAAATTTTTATCGCAAAATTTACAACCTTTGGTATAATATTGAACGCAAGAGAGATAATTATGAATAGTCTGTTGTTAAATGTTATATCTTTTATCTGGTATTGGTTTGACTCAAATGCTTGCGTAATCAGTATTCAAACATACAAACATACTGAAAACTCATCTGAAAGATGAACTCTCTTTCTTTTGCAACGGCATTGAACTCTATGTCCGCCAGAAAAAGTTAGGCTTAAATTATTGGTAATTCTTTGAGCAAGCAAAACGCCAAATTTTAAATCTAGATTTTATATTGAGATTCTTTTTGCGACGATCGACTGAATATTGAACCAGCCTTTTTGGAAGAAGTGTACAATGTTGACAAAACAGCGATAAAAACATTCTTGTTTCCCATTTTGCCAATATCAATTATTTTAGTGTAAAACATTTTTAAAGGGGGGTAATAACTTCCATATTGTGAGATCAGCAAACTTTTATTACAATTTCTATTATCTGAGTTTTATTCTTGACAAAGTTAAACGTAAGATGATTTTTTTTTGGAAGTTTTTATTCATTACAATGTATAAATTAATTATTGTATCTTTATCTTATTCAAGGAGTACATATTTACATAATTTTCAATAGAGAGAACAAGAAAATAAAATGTTTTCCTCACTATGATGACAACAAAATAATATCTTTCGTAAAGTGCATTTAATATAGGAGATAACATTTACATGTATAGTAAACACCGTATGTTAGTTTAAGGTGGAGAGGAAGTGTCACAATTTCAGAAAAGCGATCTTCAAGTTATTATTACCTTTCTATCTATAGTATAATATTATACAATCGAGTATCAGTGGCAAAAATCATTTTTGTATCGGTCTTTTCGAGAAAAGAAGACGTTAGTTTTTTTTTTTCTGATACAATTGCTAGAATCGTTACACACTGAATTTTCGACGGATTTTCCCGTTATTACCCGATCATGACAAGGAGCTCACGGTGGGTACCGGTGTGACAGGTCGGTATAAGATGCTCACTCCTCCGTGCCACCTGATCCCACCTCTGATGTTTTAGAGGTCCGTGTTTGCTCTGCTCCAAATTCGTATTGTTTAATGGACTTTTGAGCTTGAATACTGTTCTTTATCTCCATACATTTCATTGTAGGAACACCCAAATTCAGCAAAACTTTAATTCTGAGATTTTTTTATTTGAAAAGAAGAGGGAAGTCTTTGAAAACATGGCTGCTGATAAATCGAAATCATAGCATTTCTTGTTAAATATTGCATTTTGGTTTAGAAAACTGACCTGATATGGAAAATAATCCTATCAATGTAGACAGTGGCAATGAAGTTTTGAACACACTTTCTTTGTAGTGGTCTAGCAAGGACATCTGAAGAATCCCCACTGCAGTCAGAAAGAAACCATGAATGCAATGAGATCCGAAAGAAGCAAGAAGGACAACCCAGGACCATCCTTGATCAGGCGATGTGTAGTATTCTCTCATGGTTACCATACGTGAATCATATCCAGTCCTGTATTATACAATGCATACTTTTCTTCCATTTCAAAGGTAAGTATAAAAGGAGATATGGAAATTGTATACATTGAGTACAGCACAAAGGGTACGTCATAATACCCTTGGATTGCTTTGATTTCTTCATGGTAAGATATTATTACATCACTGAAATATACAAATGTATCTCTAATATCACCTTCCACTTTTATCAAAGCTACACAACTTTGTTAAAAAATAGCACCGTTTTAAATTGTGTTTTATATTATTTGATTGTTATGCTCTTACATGCATTTTCGTCGAATAATTACCAAATTAAAGAGTGGAATAACCACTATGTGGTCATACAGAATGCTGAGAAATTAGAATATTACAAAGAAACATGTTTCATGATACAATAATATCAAAATAAGGACATATTTTTAAGTCTTTTGATTAGTTAAGTTATTTACATCATCAGCTAAATAAATCTTTAAAATCTGAAAAGTTAACACGTTTCCATTCCAGAAACATGAGCATAACTTACCTCTAAAACATCAATTATCCATGCTTCTTTTAATACATTCTGAAAGTATACGCTGCAGTTGAACTGTTAAATAAGTCATGAACCATACACATATATAAAACAATAAAATATATATATCGAAGTCCGTATTTTGTTTTTAGAATTGAATGGTGAGGATAATTTTCCTACCTATATGAAATCCTTTCTTCCATTAAGCATTGTTATGAGAAAAAAAGCCCTTTATAACCAGTGTTACAAAAAGCTTACTACACAAAAACCTTCATGTAACAATTCTGCAATAAAACATTATGCATTTGTGTATTTCAGAAAAATGTTGTTATGATTTTTCAAATACACAAAGTAAAAAATTGGTTGGATCAACAAAATCACTCCTTTTTAGAGCAGGAAGAAAAGGAGTAAAGCACACTCAGCTATTAAATTACATAAACCTCTTTCACACTTGCTGAACATTAGGTATTTAAAAAGTCTTCGACAAAGGATTGGAGACATTTCTAAGGCTGCAGTAAATGTGTCGAAGATAAAATACACTATGGTATACTCCTGTCTAAGAGTTTTCAATGTTAATTTTCATTCTACTTCGGATTTCTTGATGTCACTCTTTGTTAGGGATGTTGTGCAATGAACAACGAAGTCCTTCAATTGTTGTTTTTACCAAAGATCTTATCTACAAATTTGTTTGGTTTTTGAGTTATCTGTGGCCCTAAGAACAATAATAATTTTTGGTGGTACGACTATACCTACATCATGGCAATTCTGCAATTGTTGTAACATTGTGAGATGTAGCAATATACCCTTATCACCTGCACATGTGGTTTATGTCTCTCAGTTGATTCGATACGCAAGAGCATGCTCTTCGTACGACCAATATCTAAAACGAGGCAACCTATTGACAAACAATTTTTGTTTGTTATTTAACGTCCCTCTCGAGAATTTATCACTCATATGGAGAGGCCACCAGTTGCCGGTGGAGAGCTGCAAATTTTGACCTATGCTCGGAACTCAAGGCCATTGAGCAGTGAGGGATCTTTTTTGTGGTAGCACCTACTGAGACACGGGACCTCGGTTTATACGCTCTCGCCCGAAAAACAGGTCTCCACGTCCCTATTGACAAACAAGTTAATGAAACAAGTTAATAGAACAAGAATATCAACAGTCTCATTTAAAGGCATCATTTTACAAGTTCGATGGTCGATACAATGATCTTGTCAGCAAATACAATCTATCATTAAGTCATATGCTGACTGAAGTTTTTCTTACTAACTGTTAAGCCATTATTTACACAGTGAATTGTCGGAGGATTTTTTCCGTTATTTACAAATCATGACAAGGAGGACACGGCGGATGTGACCGGTCGGCAGGGGATGCTCACTCCTCCATGGCACCTGATCCAAATTCTGATGTTTTTGGATGTTCGTGTTTGCTCTGCTCCCGATTTGTATTGTTTTAATGAACTCTGAACTTGAATACTGCTCGTTATCTCCATATGTCTTTTCCCACATTATATATTTATCTTTTTAAGATTAAAAAAAAATATATTAATTGAATACAAATAATTCATTTAATGTGTTATTGAAATATAAACATTACGGAGAGTAATCATAGTCAAAAGTTCTTTAAAAAATACAAATGTGATTAGAGCAAACCTCTAAAACAGAGGTAGGATCTGGTGTAATGGAGAAGTAGGCAACCCCTATTGATCGGTCACACCCGTCGTATGCTCTTGTCATGATCTGATAAACGGAGAAACCCAAAGTAAATTCAGTATGGAAAAAAGGTCTAAAAATTTGTTTGAAAAATATCTCTTAATATTCGATCTAACGACAGATTGTATTTGAAAACGAGGTATCGACCACAGAATTTGCGAAATGTAGACTTTAAACGTGATTGAAGAAACCTTAGTATCATCAGCTTGTTTGTTAGTAGTCTGCCTCGTTTTGGAAATTGTTTTTACGAAGAACATGTTCTTGCGTATCCAATTAACTGTGAGACAGAGAACCAATATGCAGGTGGTAATAGTACATGTATATTGTTACAAAGATAAGGAAATTGTCGATGGCAAGTTCAAGTCATCAGGTTTATTTTAAAGTTTAGTTGTTAGTGTGCCTTCAATCACTTTATTTTTCTTTTATCGTATTCTTAACGCAAACAATGGATTATCAATAGATTATTATATATGTGTATCAGATCTTTAAGTCGGCTGTTTGGAGGTCTTAATTTCTTTGTACAAGTAATTAAGCACATCAGTGTTCTGGAAATTTCTGAATATGGTTGACCTTTAGGGCCTTTGAACTCCAATAAATATGGAAGCACTACATGTTCTCAAATTTGACTTCCTCTATGCTGAATTCATGCATCAAATGCATATTTTGGAACGATGTCTAGGGTCTAGGTACACTGTACATGTACTAAATCTTTCCAGGCAAATTCATCCTAAAAATTATATAAATATCAAGCACACAAAGCTTCTTCATAATAACGATATATTTTTCCATTGCATAACAACTCTCTCGTTAACTAACAAAGAGTTCCTTTGTAAGTAAAACTCAGCCTTGACATTTTCAATGACACAAGATTCTCAGGTTTACAACAACACCACATTTTTATTATGTCGTAATATATTTCTCTGGATTATTGCCACGATTACTATTCTCAGTGCTTTTGTCGCTTTTTCAAGATGCAGTTGTGTATCGTTTTTTCACTTTTCGTGATAAATAGGTTCCCCTTTGCGGTTGTTTTCGTGAAAGTCATTCCGATCATTGACTCTTGTCTTCTATAGCAAAGAAGGCGTATATTAAAATTGATATCCGTCTGTTTCTTTGTTTAATCAGAGACATATATGTCTCTGGTTTAATGAACCTTCGAGAATTATTAAAATTCGTGAATTAGTAATATGGCAAATTCACAAAATTTTGTTTCAAGTCCATGCATATTATGAAAAGATATGATTAAGGTCCCGGTGTTATTGTTCGATAAAATACAAAACAAAACATGATATATTATCATTTCAATGAAATTGTTTCCATTTATTTGGCTAGATAATTTCATTTTTTCCTCCTAACATTTCTGTGAGATTGGTCGTTTCCGGGTGGATTTTAAGAACGCTGAAATACCTTTTATCACATGCCATTTATGCACTGGATATTGTTTTTGTTATCCACTTTTGTATTCTGATGCCTCTTTTTATCAAATTCACCAACCCATGTGCATGCATTTATATTTACATGGAATATAGAATTTCCTTTTCAAAGGCACCTTATTTATACATTTCGTAACGCACCATTTCAGCGACATAATAGTGTTGATGTTCTGATAAAGTGAGGGACAGCCAACGGGAGTGCACAAATAGGGATAAACCCATAAAATTTGTTAAAAGGAATCTCTGCATGGTTTATGATTTGATTTGATTCAACACGTTGTGTGTGTTTAAACGCCAAAGGCTCAGGGAGAGAAATACACAACTTGTTGGATAAAATTAATTCCAAATAAAAACTTTTGAAGATCTTACACTATTGAATTTCATTTATGGCGTTTTTACCAAAATGAATGGTCCTAGATATACTTATTGTATACATATTCAAAATATCTGTCATAAAAATCCAAGACAGAATAGTTTGAACTTCATATTTTTGTAAAAATTGCGGTCTTTAAAGATCGCAGATAGTGTGCACGGCCCAGGGTTAAAATGTCATAAACTTTGAAATAAAGTGTTCTGAGTAAAATAATTATTTTTAAATTAATATTTAAAAGGTAAGTCAAAGCTTAATGAAAATTAAATGTGTCGCAAATAAAGCGGATGTCGTCATTTTGTGATATCTTTAGTACCGTCTTCTATAAAGATAGTGAAACTATAGAGAAAAAACCGCAAGAAACATGTTTCAAAAATTGACAGAAAATTGACGTCGGCCATCTGAAGGGAACAGCGTCCAATCCTAAAATTATATTTTAATATGGTTAAAAAGACTTCAAAGACAAAATATTTATTCTAACAATTCTTAATGTAATATATTTAGTTCATTGATTTGAAATTGGTATATACGAATTTTCGTCGGTATGTACAATTGTGGAGACACTACAAAAAGTGGAAAACTATTTTTTTTTTAATGAAAATAGTATATCCTTATTCATGACTTTGTTATAAATCTCGCGCAACGTCCGACTGGGCTGCGCAGCCTGTGAATTCGAAGTGTTTTCAGTAATGACGCTCTAAATTATTGTGTATTGGTTTGAATTTTAAAAATTAAATAATTAAAATCTATACCTAAATATTATTATACACACTTGGCAGTGTGGCAAAATAAAGATGTAGCGTGTGTCCGTGAATATGTAATAAAAACTCAAAATTCTTAATTTTTGACGTTATCATGAAAATAGCTTTACATCGGACTGGGCCGTGCGGCTTGCATATACAAATTATTTACACCTATAACATTCGTAAAATAGTTTGTATTGTTTTAATTTTTATATATTTACTAAATCGTGGTCCAAATTAAATTATTGCCGTACACGTTTGGCAGTACGGTCATTATTAAGGAAATTATAGCATTTGTCCACGGACTTTATGGGCAACCCTCGTATATCCGCCTGTACATGTAGGATGAATGATTTTAGTCATGGCCAATAAAACGACCGTATACATGTATAATCTCTTAGCTGATCATTGTGGAATAATGCTGAAAATATCCATAACTTTTATCTAAATTGACGAGGCAACACTTATGGTGTGCAGAGCTTGATTACGCCGTTTTTTTGTGTTTTTTTTTTCAATTTTAAATCCATTTACTGTAAAGGTGGAAAAGTTGACGATGTGGAAACGTTGGCAATATTGACGAATTTCTAAGAGTCGTCAAAGTTTCCACTCGTCAACTTTCACATTCCTGTTAAAGAACACTGATAAATACTAGTAGATCGTCAAAGTGTCCACTCGCCATTTTTATAATATACCGAAATCTTCAAACTTTCAACCCTTAAATAAAACCACTTTTACAGAATTAATTTAGTCACTTTCAAAGGATATTTCATATAAAATACATGCATCCAAGTATTTGACACACTGGATCTGATCTGAGGAGAACAGATGTGCCCATAAGCCTATGCCATATTAATGATCGTGACAATAGATATACAGAAGGGAAGATCAGCAATATTTTTATATAATCAAACACCACTCTACGTGTCAAAATATAAAACATCTTGGCTAACTTTGTACAGGGAAAAAAGGATACTACAATGTAATGGCATTCCCACAAAACTGAATTAACTCTTCACACATACTACAAAGTCATTCAACTTGTGGCATTAGAAAACAAAGATGTTAAAATATTTATTGAGAGAAAAGAAAAAAAACTTTGCCCATCTGTCGGAATGCAATGCATCGAATTCAATTAATTTACTCCAAAAATCTCTAATGATAGTTAGTGTATGTCAGTGAATTCAGTGAATTTTAGAGTTTCTGGTGTAGTTCATTAACTTACCGCACTTATGCCTTTGCATCTTCACAATTTTGCCTAGGCCTTTTTTTGTATTTTTCTTAAATTAACTCATAGCGATATAGATCTCCACAAAAGTAAAATGCGAAGTTGCGAAGGCGAAAGTGCGAAGTTGTGAAGGAGAAAGTATCATATTAGTATCGGTCCTTTGCCTTCGCACTCTCGCCTTCGCATCTTTGCACTTTCGCATCTTCGCCCTAAAGGCGAGAGTGCGAGTGGCCCTAACGGAACACCACAGAAATAGCTCTATTAAGAATAGTTATAATTAGGCGATCTTTTCCTGTAGGTTTGAAAGGATTGCTTATATATTTGTCATTTTGCATCTTGATGTTTATATTTTATTGAATCCTCTCCATGAACATCAACGTCTGTCGGCAATTATCTAGTGACTAATGTCTTGTTACAATAGATCCATTTTTTAACACTTGCGTGTCTAAATATATGGCATGCATAACTTAAATATATGATGCATGAAATTACAGCCAGGTAAACAAATCGATGTTTTTTCCCAATTATTTTGTTGAGTGTGTCAGCAACTCCTATAATGAATTATTCATGATACTGAAAATTATTCATTTGTAAAAAAAATTCTCTTTTGTACCACGTTTGTGCCAATCAATATTTTAAATATCTTGAATATAATGGGAATAAAATGTTCAAGTATTTTTAAAGCTGGAGCATCAAAATTCGTCTGTTTTGCCATCAACAAAATGATTTTTGTATTGGTACATAACTTTTTTTTATATTTCGCTCTGTGACGTAACTTTGACCTTTTCACTTTTTTGAGGTCAAAATTACATTTTTATATTATTACATAACGTGTGAGGAATTTTTATATCAAATTTAAGCATTTGCATTTACGTTATACATATAATTCTCTGTTGCTTTATTTGTTTGATTTTTTGTACTATTGAGGAAACTAGACAAGCAAATTTGAAATAAATCATTACCTCAGTATAAAAAGATGGAGAAGATTCTTGGTAAGCTAAGAACGAAAGTAAATCACCTTCAGATTTTTTAAGTTATACAATTCTAGCCTTTTTTTTCCTATAACAAGTAGAAAATTTCCAATAAAGATATTTTACCCTGGAAAGGGCAAGTATGTTAAAATAACTTCTTATCTTCAACAAGCATCTTCTGTTCTTTTCTTCTTTTTACTGCCAGGGAAAATGTGCTTCGTAGCGTAGACAATCACTAAACCTTTGTGTAAAAGGCCGTTAATTTCTTAATGAATAAACACAATGTAATTGCAAGCATTATAAAAATGTTGGAAAAAATTACGAATATTAAGTGACTTTTAAACACCAAAATGTATTTTACTGTTCAGGCCTCTAAGTGTCTAAGTGACCTAAAAAAATTTGGCGTCAGCTGGTTCTTGATTAAAAAAAATTAGTCGCCATTGCAAATCTTAAGTCGCCAGGTAAATTTTTCTTAGGCGTGTTCAGTAATTTTTAGGCGCCATGGCGACTAAATTAGTTGCCAATTAGAGCCCTGCTGTTAGAATGACTTTGGGAAAAATGTTATTCAATCCATCAGAATTTTTTCATTGAACTTCAAAATTAATTGAATTTGAACGAGCAATTAATCAAAAATGAGAATCAGAATTCGACAGGAACCCCCCCCCCCCCCCCCCCACAAAACTAGATTAAATCATTAGCAAAATCTATTTGCACTACATACCCGAAGCATAAATTTACTGAATTTCATAGATATGTAAATAATCATTGGTACAAACAGATGTTTTAAATCTAAGATAATACCAATATAACATTGTTATTCAGTTTGTTTGGGGGAGGGGGAGGACAGTATTCTCCTTTGAAAAAAAAGCAATTGTAGAAGCTTCTTATTTATTGTGAATTCTATATTCATCTCCAATTATTTTTAACAAATGCAATGAAACTTCTAAAGTATGTATAACAATGTATGTATGTCATTATATTGGATGTGTTGAAGTGTTATTTGTTTCGGTACTAGTTATTAACTTTGTTTATTTCCTTGTATATCAACACCTCCACTGGCACATGATATCAAAGGACTCTCTTCCAAGTAAGTATAGTCCTTGACCTTTTTGACTGAGGAAATTTCATTGCAGCTCCTCGTTTCTGATTTACTACTAACTTGTTTGTTTTTTGTGATGCTTTGGTCCTCATTTATAAGTTGTTCTTCGAAACACTTATTTTCACGATCGTCGTACACAATTGTCTCTTCGTTGTGTTTTATTTGAATTCCTAGCCGATCACCAACTCCAGAGGCCCATGCAAAAATTGAGCCAATTAGAATTGAAATGCCTGCAATAAGACAAAATGACATTAATTATATCGAAACAGGTGTGTGGTTGGGGGTGGGGGTTGGGGGGGGTTGGGGAGAGGGGAATTCCTTTAAGTAACTTTGGGAAGAAAATATGACAAATTTATATTGTAATTATGTTCACCTTGTATCTCCAGGTAATGGCAATAAACCATTCGCAACCTATTCAAATTATTAAAAATAAAATCAATCTGATGAAGAAATTGTATTATATCCGAAAAAAAATATTTTCATAATTCTCTAGCCTCACCTGCTACTGTAATAGACTGGCCATAGGTTCCTCCAAAATTGACAATGCATCCTATAAAATAAAAAAAAATCAATTTAAAATAATGAACTTTACTGTTTAATATCTTTTAAATAATTATCCACTTGCAGTTATTTATATTCTTTAAAAGTCTTTAAAGTAAATATTTACCTCCTAACAAAGGTCCGAGAAAAGTACCAACTCCAGTAAAAAGCATAGTGATACCATAAACCATAGCTAGATTTTTTACCCCTGCTAGAATTACACAAATAGAATTCAGCAATGAATAGCAACAACCATTATACAATCCTAGTGTTATCATATAGAAGATTTGGCCACCATATGTTTTTCCATACAAAGGAAATAACGCAGTAGTAAATCCTGTCAGACTGAAAGTCCCTGCATATAATACAAATTCATCCATATTGCTGGCATTGGCAGCTGATCCTATTAAGATCCGAGAAAAACAATTACAAATTCCCGAAACAGACAGAAGAAAAGCGGCATCCAACTTGCTGAATCCAACAGAAGTCACATAACTTGCAAAATGAAGATATATGAGATAAATTCCTAAATTACAAAGAAACATGGACAAGTATACATTCACAAGTGAAATTGAAAATAATGCACTGCATTGTTCTCTGACCCATTTTAATGTATCCGAAAACCCTATAATGCCATGTTTTGTCCGTGAATCCTCTTCTGTCTTTTTCTTTCGTTCGTTTTCAAGTTTCGATGGGAAAAACAAAGCTCCAAACACGCAAAATTGCAACGTGAGACCACCGCAGATTAGCCACAATCCATGATAACCAAAATAGTCACTAACAACTTGCATCATTGGCGCTAATGCAAAAGCACCGATTCCAATACCCGATACTGCTACGCCACTTGCAAAGTTTCTTTTCTTTTCAAAGTTGTATCCAACAATAACTACAGATGTCGTGTAGCACATTCCCATTCCTACACCTTTAAAAAGATTTTACCATCTTTAAAAGACAACAGATTTCTTTAACAAATTGCTCAAAAAGAAGATATTTTTATATTTTGTATTTTTGATAGCTGACATATTTAAAAAAATAATATCAAATTACAAAACGATAAAATAATAGTTATTTATTTGATTTACCGCCTATAATCCCTAGTGTGAAGAAAACAAACATAATGTTTGGCATGAAGGCAGTCAAAACATGGCCTATAGATACGATGAGTCCTCCAGTTATCATTGAAACACGAGTACTCCATTGATTGGCTATCAGACTTGCAAGTGGTCCTGGAGAGTCAAAGTTTTGACAATGTCTTATATTTAAAGAATACATTTTTTCCAAGACATTTTCTTATCAATTCATGAAATATGTGAGATAACGAACAGTATTCAAACTCAAAAGTCCATCCAAACAATACAAATCAGGAGCAGAGCAAACACGGACCTTTAAACCATCAGAGTTTGGATCAGGTGCCATGGAGGAGTGAGCATTCCATACACCTGATTTATTAATAAGACGAATTTATAAGCTATTGACCTGACTGATCAATCGTAGCTCTTACTAGCAATAACATTAGAAGATTCTATATGGTTTTATCTACAAAATATTTCAAAAGATAGTGCTTTAGCTTAACACGAAACTGTTGTACAGCTCTAAATCTAATTTCTTTGTGGCTGAAAAGAGAATTTTTGAAATCTTACCTGCTGTGGAATACAATCCTAAGAAAATTGAAAGTGCCCATGATGTTTTTAATACATTTTCCCTATAGTGGTCTAGTAACGACAGTTGCAGCACTCCAACCGCTGTCAGAAAGAAACCATGGATGCAGTGAGATCCGAAAGAGCTTACAAGAACTACCCATGACCATCCTTGATCGGGCAAAGTGAGATGTCTGGACATTTTTGATAAAAGTATATGAAAATCATAACATCGTTCATTTAAAAATCGGTTTTCTTAATTCGAAAGTATTTTGAAAATAAAACAAACTTTGTCTCTCCTCAATTGTTTGTGAGATTAACGAGAAAAGATCCTCACGAAGGGTGCATACATTTTTTTTTATTTTAGCCCTTGGAGTTTTTGTGGGGTCGCATTGCATGTACAGGTGGCTAGCCAAAGTATGCACGCCCTTTTTTAATATCAACAATTACTTTGTTCTTCATAAAAAAGTACAACTAGCTTGAAACCTTATTGTGACCTTGAACTAATCAAACCTCGGTCCTCGGAACAATTAGCTTTTGAATCTATTTTATGTTTACTTGGTAATCAATCGTAGTACCTCATAGTTGCTATTGTGGAATGGATTTATGAAACTTTGTCAGCAAGGATAGTTGAGGAATCTAAATGAAAGGAAACGTATTAAAATCATTGCGTCTTAATACAATTTAAGAGCCATTCTCTGTAATGACTTAAACTTTTATATAGGAGCTGTGGCACGCATAGTCTCAGAATTTCTCCAAACTCTCTTTGATAAAAGTCTTTGATACCTTAAACTCAAATCAGGCAAAAATTGGTTGCTACGTGTCATGGTTTCCATAGCAACACGTCCTAAAGTTTGAAAAATGGCATTTTTCAACATGTTCAGAGTCCCACAATTAACGTTTGCGGCAAAGCAAACAAGTGGTAATGACTGTTTCTGAAAGTTGAAGGTCTGGTGTCTTAAATATTTGATAAACATGTTTGGTAAACCAACTATTATATACGTTACTATGGAAACAAAGTATTCAAAAGTAATAATTTTGTTCATTTAATTTTAAAAAGTCATACACTTAAAAATAGAAACAATTATAGGTTGAAAAGCAAGCAAATAATAGACAAAAGATCTTTGAAACATATGCCAAGGACGAAATATGATATTTCTTATGGGTTGGCAATGGTTGCCATGGTTTTAATACAATAAGGGATTTTGAATTTCTATGCTATCTTATGCGATCTTTTTAAAAAACATATTTCTATATAACTGATGATTAATTTTTAAAGGCGTTGGTGTGACCCTAATTTTCACATTTCAAAAATTTCAAATCTAATTCTTTAAATAGAGTGTTGCTTTGGAAATTAGCCGAAAAAATATGCTTAAAAATGTGAAAAATATTATGTTTCCTTGGATACGTACACTTGTATGTAGATTCCCAAAACTTTTATGATTGATATTTATGAATAACTAACCTGACTTTCAAATTTGATTACCACCCAGTCTCTGACTGGATGCAAAACGCTGGCACATAGGGTTTAATATTGATTTAAAATTAACAAAATCAAACATTTTCACTTCTTGGTAACCATAGCAACAGTGTTGTATTTTTCTACAAACTTTATCAATATATGATATTCAGCGTTAGTTCTACCAGATAAGTACTATTCAAGGTTAGTCAAATAATATGTTTCTTGATTAAAAGGTAAGTAAATTTCTAAAGCAGCAAAAAATATATCACTTTAAACAACTAGTACGTTGTTTCCATGGTTACACTGCAGAAAAACAATCCCATTTTTTCTTATGTTGTTGGTGTGGCAAGGTCCTAAGGATGTATATGTGCCAGTCATGAATTTTCTTGTTTTTCTCAAGATAGTAGCATTAACCCAATCATAGCAACAGATTTTGCATGGTAACACTGTGTTACCATGGCAACCATGAAAGTTATTTTTAGAATAATATTGCCAATACCTGATTACTTAAGGTCAAATATTTTTTTTATTGTTTTTCTTAAGTTGTTGATTGAGTTTGATCATGTAACATCTATCATTTGTGAATATTGAGCGGTTTCAGCATTTTTCAGCATCTAAAATGTATTCCAAATGTACCCATGGTTACCACTTACTTAGAGATAAATTCTAAATAGTTTCTTTATAGCATAAGTGGCAACAAGGTGTCATGTTTTTGTGAGAATGGTTTGTTTGTTTTTCTTAGTCTTTATTAAGGCTTAATAAAGATTCAAAGTAGCTGAAAATCTCAATTTTTTCAACTTTTCTGGCTGTTACCATTGTAACCAAGACACATAGCAACGAAAGTTTGTTTGATATATGTTTCTGGTGTCAAGTTGTAATAATGGGCAAAGTTTCATCAAAATCGGTGACCATGCGTGGCAAATAAGTTTAAGTGGTTACAGAGAATCGCTATTAACAAAATGTTTGGCTGGTAATTTTGGTCCCGAATTATTTTCTTAAAGTGCATTTTAATGCTTTTTTGCTCTGTTTTGCTACTATACAATTATTGTATTGAGGTATATTCGTGACTTTACGAACCTGATCAGGTATTGATTGACCAAGGCTGAAGCCAATACCTGACCAGGTCCGTATAGTGACGAGTAGACCGAATTCAAAAATCAATAACCTTTTTTTGAAAATCAGGAATTTTACAACATATTTTATACTTTCGCTCTTGTCTTCAATAAATGTAAGCTCTCGTGATATAATCTGTTAAGTAATAGCATCATAATTAATTATTATCATGGAAAACAATCATAAAACAATAAATAATCAATCATTTACTAAAAAAGGAGTTAAGTTTCTTCGATACTGGCGTCTGTCATCGTACGTTTACAATGAACATGCTTCAAAACGCACAACTTGATTGGCCGATAAAACTCTAAGCAAATCTACGGTGGATCAAGTGGAAAATGTAAATAGAAAACCTCTCGGAACGTCATTTTTAGGTGAACTCACTCTGGGGTAAATTTCAGGAAAGAAAGTCTGGACCAATCAGCTAGCATCAAAATTCTAAATCATTTAATGAATATATATACAGGCGTATAAAGCCATTTATTTACGGACTAGATCCACTGTATTCAATTTTGACAAGTGAACTCATTTAACATCAAAATTCTTGCTTCGTCTTTGTTTCCGACATCTACATATTACCTTACTATGTTTATACTTGACTTAAATCAGTTTGCCATGTGGTTCAGCATAATTAATATGTCATTAAACCTTTTTAAAATTTAAAATAGTATTCAGTCCTATTTCCTGCATAATAAAGACCATGTAAAACATGCGTTTAAAAAAAACTCAATTAATTACAATACCACAGCTGCGTGTACCTTCCTGCTAGATATTGTAACTACAGTGCTGCTCTTATGGAGACCAATGTGTATGTGTTGATGGTATGTGTTAATGGAACAATTAAAAGGTTATGCTCTAAATAATCAAAGATTTTTACAAAGTAATACAATACTAACATTTTAACATATATTTTAAGTTATTTTAAGCGAGATATCGGTATTTTTAATGAAAAATTTCTTAAAACATGAAAGTGAACGGGGTTAAGAGTAATTCGATTCATAATGTCTTTACAAAAGCTGTTCTTATTAACATTGCTGCAAGAATGCACTCGGAAACAAACAATCTCTTTTACGATAAGAATGACTCATCAACTGTCGAGCATACAATCAACTGTAATAACGCACATTCAAAATGTACATTTGCAAGGATAATAAGAAAGGGAAAACTACAATAAGTTATACGTAATATTTTTCTCCAAGTGATATTAAAAAAAACTTAACAAAGAAAAAAAAAAAACCAAATGTAAATAATGATGTTTCAAGCATAAAGGGCTCTTGATTTTAAATCTTTGATGGCGAAAAAAAATGGACCTACTTGAGTATAAGCAACGGTTTATTCTAGCTTAAATTTTATAAATTACACAGTCTAGATAGCAACAAACCCGTTTGCACAATAACTAAGAGCTTGATAAAATTGTTTTGGTACAATGATTCTCAAGTGTAATGAGATTTGCTGAGGCCTCAGCCCTTAGTATTAGGACAATAGTCTCAGACCCAAAAAAATAAAAACACAGATTTCTCCATCTCCATCATATTTTTTTTAATTGAAATATTTCTTCACTACTGTGGTTTCATTTCAGGACTTTTCAAGTGCTATTGTAGTGTTATTTTTGATCCTGGATGAGTTGGATAAAACGTTCCGGAATTCGTTTTTATTGAGGTTCATATCGTTTCCTTGAATCACAAAGAACTGAATAAAATTATTTCCCTGTGTACGTTCTACTCCTCGCACTGTGTGCAGTAATATAGTGTTTAGTTTATAAAAGTTGCACGAAAAAACTATGTCAGTCATCATGATTATACTATGGAACAGAAACACGTTTACAATAGTAAGACTCTTAGGTATTGAACTTACCACTACTCCATGATTGATAGTCAAGCCAATGCATAAAATCAATACAACTGCAGCCGAAATTCAACCATGTTTGTTTTTCAGATCATTTTTTTTGCTGTCTAGTCACATTCTTCAAGACAGCCAATCAAAGTTACGCATGTACTAAGCTTTCGTTGATATTCAGCATTTTACTCTTGATTCTTATAGGGTATAATTTAAAGTTCACAATCTTGAATTCAGATAAAACTACATTCTCATGCACCAAAACGTATGTGGTTTTCATATGGAAAGCAGTTTATGCAAAATTTTTGTCATGTGTTAATTAATGGCAAAAAAAATTTATGTAATGGAAGACTTCAAACAGTTTTTAGGGGACAAAAAAAGCATGGTTGTTCAGCACAATTCACCTATTCATTGTCGGTGTTTCAAATGTATTTCAAGATGGTTGGATGATAAATATTCCTTTTATCAACAGGTTCTTGCCATACACAGATCTCTCTTCGCATGCCCTTGTACGTGTAAAAATATGCATGTAATTAGAAGATGCAGAATCTTATGCAGATTTTAATGACATATATCGGACGCCTGAGATCTTTTCACGGACTACTTTTAATTATGCAAGCAGATCTTTAAAAGAATTTAGCTTAGTTTGTCTCTGATGGTACGATATCAAGGTAGTTTACAAACTGAAGTTCTTTGTTATAACCAGCTACAGGTATTTAAAAAAAACTTGACGTTTAAAAGTTTTATTTAAAGTTGTTCGAGCAGCTCCATTCCAGAAGATCTCGCGCTGAATTTTGATTTATCATGTAAGTTAAAATTAAAGATCTATATTAAGTTCTTGCCTGATTGCCTATACTGAGTGGAATCAAGATTTTTATGCCTGCACATTCTGAACAAAATTTTGGGTATATTTATGTTGTCCTGGTTCGCCTGTCCATTTGTCACACTTAATCTTTCTGTAATTCCTCTAACGATTTAAGCAGTAACCAATCCATCTTTTGGAATATGATAGATAGTGTCAAGTAGATATGCAATAAGGTTTCAGAGTTTTCATTTCAATCTTGAGGGTCAAAAAGGAGTTTTTTTTTAAAGAAAAAAACATCTGGTTCCCAAATTTTAAACGGTAGCCAATCATCAGAAATCTGAATCTGAGAACTCATACATTTTTTTACAGCAGCCAGAACCTTTGGGAGGTAATTGGCTGTGCCCTATAGATGAGCAGTAAGGGTTTGTGACAGTTTGTGACGGTACAAATTATCGTTCTGTACATATTGTCGTTGATGACAAATGTACCTTCCCTCACTACATATATTGTCATCCATCGGAACATGTCGCCGGCGATAATTTGCCAGTATCAGGTTGCTGATAATGAACTTGTATCTACTTCGCAAATAAAATTTCTTTTCACATGCAGTCGTCTGTTGGAAGTCACTGTCGAACGACATCTGATTACAATGGCGATGAGAGGAGTAATAATTAGGTTCCTCTGGGAGCCAATTTGTATAATCTATAAAGCCTTTCTCCGGAAACCATACCCATTCCCTGCTGTGATATAAATCTGTACCACTGAGCCAAAATGTTGAGTTATATGGAGCTACAATACATGAATTAGATAAAGGACAATTAAATGACGTCAGAATACTATTTTCAATATGTCAATACAGTTATATGCACATTATTTATCATATGTGAACAAACATCAAAGAAGTACTTCAAGATTTTCCCAGCTTACCCAGAATGGTCAGAAGGTGTTGCATGATACTGGACTGTGTGACAATGAGATCACGACCCGGACCAGTTTGTGTATGACGGATCTAGTATTGCTCCAGCCTCCGAAGACAACCTTGTAAGAGTTGACCGTATCATCTCTGTTTTCAGAGAGGATTATGCCTGCGTCATTACATCCCATATATTCAAACTTTATGTGTTTCTCTTGTCTTATAATTTTGGAGAACTCATCTAAATAATGATATTTATTTTCAGCAGGTAGGTGTTTCCGAAGGAGGCTGAAAAATATCTAAAATTTTTAAATGCACGTTTTCATCGATGACAACTTTGGAATCAAGCTTTATTGACAGACAAAACTCATTCTTTTACCGTTAAAGTGATTAAAGATGGAATGTTCCTGAAATTGTTGTTTGCCAGCATCATATATTTTAGGAATCCACCACTATCCTGACATTTTCCCTTGAATAGAAAAAAGCGCTATATTCCCACGGTATTTTATGGAAGAAAGATTGACAAAGCACACCATGCCGTAACAGTGTACTATATCACACTTATTCTTTTCAGTGTGAGTTAGCCCATACTAATAGTGCATCATAATTAAGGTGGTCTATCTTTCTATGTCTATCAGATTCTTATATCTTCATTACAATGAACTTTGTACGGCATATTGAGCTTTTCTTCTCTGTTTCTGTAGTAATTGTTTTGTGTTTTTTAAATATGAAAATAAGTTGAAGAAAGTACTGATTAACTTTTTTTTCCTTTTAGCCAAAGGCTCAATGATGTTTTCTGATCGAAAGTTGTCGAAATGTGTCCGCTATCTAGCTATACACCTGCATGTTATCTAACTTGTAACATTTTTGGCTTCTCAAAAACCGAATGGCCAATTTAAACTAAACTTAATACAAAAGCACCGCTAAGTAAAGGGAATTCATGTTTGTCCAAATGGAGGGCTACATCCCCTTCAAGGTTAAATAATCAATAAATAGTAAAACAGGTTGGGGCCATATAAAAAAATTATCAAAAACCACTTGTCAGAAAAGACATTCCTTTAATGTAAGCTTCCCATTTGATGTAGATTTAACTTTGTTCAAATAATGATCCCCAAACCTAGAGTGGATACAAAAAGGTTCACACATAACTAATCAATTTCTGCAAGAACAATGCTTAATTTGTAAGATTGACCTCAAGTCTCAATATGCATAATTGATTGATTGTATGTTGATTAACGTCCCATTCGAGAATTTTTCATTCAAATAGAGATGTCACCATATATCGGAGAAGGGCTTCAAATTAAGACTTATCCTTGGTACTCAGGGCCATTGAGCAGTGAGGGTTCTTTATCGTGCCAACACTAGCAAAAATTTACTATAGAAAACTATAATTTACCATAATTAACCATAGTAGTTAAACATGGAGATAACGAACAGTATTCAAGGTCAGAAGTCCTTTCAAACAACACACATAGGAGAGGAGCAAACACGGACCTGTAAAACATCAGAGGTGAGATCAGGTGCCATGGAGAGTGATCATTCCCTGCCGACCGGTCATACCCGCCGCGTGTGCTCCTTGTCATGATTGGGAAAAATGGAAAAAAATCCATAGACAATTCATTGTGTAAAGAATGCCTAACAATTAGTATAAAAAACGTCATCAGCATGTGACATATTTTATTTGCTGAAAAGGTCATTGTATCGACCATAGAACTTGCGAAATGATGATTTTAAAAGAGACTGTTGATATTCTTGTTTAATCAACTTGTTTGTCAATAGGTTTCCTCGTTTTAGAAATGTTTGTACGTAGAACATGCTCTTGCGCATCGAATCAACTGAGAGACATAAACCACATATGTAGGTGATGAGGGTATATTGCTACATAAGTAAAGGAAGTTGACGCTTGAAAAGTTGACGTCAACACGTTTATGATAAAGCTTGTAGGTTAGGCTACCATTAACGTCTTTTCCTAGTAAAATATCAAAATATGAAATAGGTGTGTCAGACTCTGTGGTGTCTTTTATTTCAAGCTCACTGGGATATATCGAGTCGACATAATGAATGGAAGTAACTATTGTTAATTGATATTACGTCGTCGATATATCTAAATGTCGAGATGAAGGTCACAGCAAGTGTTTTCTTCTTCCCATGTAGAAGTTTTTGAATACATTCTGCTTCATATGAATACAAAAATAGGTCTGCTAATAACGAGGCGCAATTGGTACTAACGGGAATTCCGACAGATTACTGGTCTCCAAAAACTACATAGATATTGTCAATCAGAAACTCAAGCATCTTTTTAAGGTCAACTTCAGAGTACTTGAAAAAGTGTGTATGATCCGAATGTTTTTAGCAAAATAATGTTACAACTGACCAATAACAAGGTAGGTAAATTTAGAAGTTCCATATTTATTGGAAAAGCAGTTGTCAATGATATCAAAAAGCCTTGACTTTAATTAATCGTGGGGAGTGGTTGTATAAAGTGTTGAAAATACTTTCATACTTTCATTTACCATGAAACTTTACATAAGAACCTTTTCTTGTGATTTCAAAATTTAGAATTTCTTAAATTCAATACCAACAATGTTAAATATGGAAATGGTATGTGAATATAAAAATAATATTTCCGTTTAAGATCAAAAATGTGTATGTATGAATTGGAGAACTTAAAATGTAACATTCTGTAATCCAAAGTAAAAATACTTTTATATACTATAGTAGAAACTTTGATTGGCTATACTATAGTTAGCTATAGTGAACTATAATTAACTATAATACTTTTTGTTAGGGAACACCTACCGTGACACGGGACCTCGGTTTTTAAAATATAATCCGAAAGACCCATGCCTTTCACCTCTAGTGTAGGGCGCTTGGCGAAAGGACAGTTACTAACTATGTTAATGTCTTGGGTTTGACGAGGAGCGGAGAACGAGAAAGGATTCCGGGCTTCCCAACCACGAAACAAACACCCTACCACTACCGGTCCAATGTGCATAATTAAAATTGCCTAATGTAATTAGTTGAAGGCCATGTTAAAAGGGTTAGCCATGATTTGATCTGAAAAATTATAATTTTTAATTTTTCCAATTTTTAATTCTAATGTCTAAAGTGTTTTATCTTAGGCAACCAAAATTTGAATTCATGTCAACTGTCGAGTAATATTCGAGACACAGTTAAAAAAGATTGTAATGCAATCTAAGGCTGGTGTCTTGTTTTTCTTTATAAAAGTTATATATTCGTAAAAGATCCTTTAAATATTTTCTCTATTGTTAACTCTATGATTAACAATAGTACTTTTTTGATAGGGAACACCTACCGTGACACGGGACCTCGGTTTTTAAAATCTAATTCGAAAATCCCATGCCTTTCACCTCTAGTGTAGGGCGCTTGGCGAAAGAAAGTTACTAACTATGTTAATGTCTTGGGTTTGACGAGGAGCGGAGAACGAGCTTCATACAAACGGGTCGCTGCTGTTGCTCTCAAAGAAAGAATCGTATAGTGTCCCTTGAATCCTGTCCGTTCTCAAAGATTTGCGATAGTTTTCGTCAAAACATGAACGCCGACTGGAGAATCTGCAAACCAGGTTTCTGCTTGTGCGTACTTCAGAGGTCGTAGGTACAAGGCGTCACATTTACTTTCCTTCTGCCTGAAAGGGATATCTTCTTTTATTTTGTTTATTTGCGATTCATCTTATACTATAATAAATTTTGAAATAAAATGGTAAACCTTTTCTTATTTTTTTTTTAAATTTACCAAAACTCATACTTGCCTCAAGCTAGTACTTGTATGTCACTCAAAATGCCATCTGTATTGACGCTTTCCTCAGGATCTCTGTATTTTGATTGAATTAGAAATATACTTTTTTCATCAGATGAGGACACTTTCACTCATGAAGATTTACATGGGTAGTGTTAGAAATCAAGTGAAATCAAGTTTAAATCTAAATTTTCCTGGCAATGTCCATTAAGTTCAACAATACACCTTTTTCACCCCTTTTGTTATTGTGTTTTTAAATGCTACTTACAATCAAATGTGTTTCATAATCATAGCAAACACATAACTATCAGCTGGGACAGTTTTTTAAGTTAACAGTAGAGAAAATGTTTAAGTAGGATAGAGTCCAAAAACTGTTAATTCTGTGAGAGAGAAAAAAAATTAATCTCGGCCCTTCAGGCCTCGAACAGTTCTTTTTTCTCACAGAATGGACAGTTTTCGGACTTTATCCTTTACAGAAAGCTTCACCAAATATTGTCAGGGTTTCAAGTGAGATTATTCGAGGTCCTTCGAAAATGAATATTCATGCAATCTTTGTGTATTATTTATTACATTCATGCAATGCATATCTCGATGTATATCTTAATCAATATTAATTTTCTAGAGAATATAATTTTAACACTTTTCATGATTCAGTAAACAATAGCCAGAACGCAAGGACACATCAACTTATGTGCATCATAAAACCTTTCGGAAATTCATCCGTTCAAAATTCCTTACTTTAGCCGAACGTTTTCTCCCTGTTTACACCCAAAACATTACCTTCACTTTCCTCATTGAGAATTTCAATGAAGACTGTTTATAGAAACAGACTAAACATTCTTTTCTGTTAAAAATCTACTTTATATTTTATGACAGGCAGAGACGATCGAAGACGTTATAAATTCATGCATCAATTTCACACTTGGATGTATACAATTTCAGCAATTTATCTTTCAATTGTTATTTTTTGCAACTATCCAAAATGATACGAAAGTATTTATTTAAGAAAGAAAGAACGAAAGACAGACTAAACTATTTAATAGCTTGTTTCTGACACGGTCCTTAAATGTTGAAAAAAAAATTCATGAAATTGTTCTTGCATAGAATATGGTTTCATTATGCAATGAGATATTTAACTGAAATTATGTTTTTGTTATGATGGTCATAACTTAATGACATCTGTTGCTTAAGGTCCACTATAGGAAAAGCTACAATTATACGGTCCTTGACTTTTGGAAATTCTAATTGTTCGGAACTTGTTTATGATCCATGGAAGCAGATACAGTAGTGAGTTTGATGTGTTTTATTTGTTTGATGCTGAGTTAAAGATTGAGTTCAAGTTCTGATCAGATTATCTCCTCAATTTAATGGAATCAAGATTATTGATTCTCTCGGTGCTACAAGTACATATATCCAATAGAGTCCAAGATCGTTGTCCTAGATTTAAATACAAGTAAAGAAAAGTTGTATTTAATTGTTATTAACATTATCTTTAATCGTTTTAACTTTTAACCAAATAAGGTAGTCTTTGATATAGAATTTGTATCTAACTCGCATATAAAATTTCTTTTCAGCATGCAGTTGTCTGTTGCCCACCGGAAGTCACTGTCGAGCGACATCTGAATACAATGCCGATGAGAGGAGGAATAATTAGGTTCCTCTGGGAGCCAGTTTGTATAATCTATAAAGCCTTTCTCCGGAAACCATACCCATTCCCTGCTGTGATCTAAATCTGTACCACTGAGCCAAAATGTTGAGTTATATGGAGCTACAATACATGAATTAGATCAAGGACAATTAAATGATGTCAGAAAACTATTGATATATGGCAATACAGTAATTGGTAATTTAACTTTTTTGTGTTATTATTATGTAAATTAGTATAGCGTTTGTTTAGAAACATCAAGAAGTATTACAAGGTGGAAAAGTAATAACCTTTGTTGAATTTCCAATGCGTTTCTGCAGTTGTCCAAGATGAAATTCCGATGAAGTTAACTGGATGTGGCTTCGGATCTGTCCACTCCATGAATGTGCCATTACTGACGACTTTTCCCTCCCCGGCCTTGATTTTGCCGTTTTCCCAACTCACCCAGAATGGTCTGGAGGTGTTGCATGATAGTGGACTGTGTAACGCTGAGGACATTGCCTTTCCCTGTTTGTGTGTCCTTATGACGGATTGTGTATTGCTCCAGCCACCAAAGACAATTTCGTACGAGCTCACAGTATCATTTCGGATTTTAGAGAGGATTAAGTGTGCATCGTTACATCCCATGACATCAAATGTTATGTGTTTCTCTTGTCTTATGAATGTGGAGAAGTCATCTAAGTAATGATATTTGTATTCAATAGGTAGGTCAATGTTCTCGACGGAGGCTGAAGAATATGAACATGTGGTTAAATGCAAGTCTTCATCGACGACAGCTTCTGATTCATAGACAGATATGGCAAGTTATCGTACCGTTATAGTGATTGGAGATAAATGTTTCCAAAATTTCTTGTTTGCCAGCATTGTGTATTTTAGGAAGTGTACCTCCAATATCCTGACATTTCCCCTTAAATAAAAAAAATAGTGAAATGTATATTACTTTGAATTTTTGCGGAAGAAAAAGATTAAAAAAGTACAATGCTATAATTTTTCTAGTTCAGTCTACCATATCGCTGTTATTCCATTCTGTGAAGGCAAGTCAATAAAAATAAGTGCATAAAAATTAAGGTTATCTATACTAGCTTCTAATGTCTTTTTTTTTCTAAATGATAAATTTCGTATTTCATATGCATTTTTTTCTCCTCTGCCTCTGAAGTATTTTTTGTTAAATATAAAAGAATTATTTGACAAGAGTTCTGTTGACTTTTTTATCTTATTTTTTTTTTTGCCAAAGGTTCATGTGACCTTTTATGTTCATTGCTGTTTAGCTATGTCTGCCAGTTGTCTTTTGTCTGTCGTCTGTTAACTTGTAATATTTTTGACTTCTCATAAAACCACTTTATCAATTTTTACTAAACCTGACTTCTGATTAATTAACATTTTGACCGAGACTTAATCCAACACAGATAAAAGGAAAATGGAACCTCAGAATTTTTGGATCAAGTTGTGCCTGTTTCCTTTAGGGAATTTCATTTACCTACGTGATTGTCCATGTGTATGCATGTCAGAAAGGTTAGATAACTCAGGTAAGCACCGTGGCCGTTGGGCCTCTTGTTTAATATCTTGTAATAAAATGCAAGATACAAAATCTTTTTAATTTTCTAAGATATAGCATTTAACTCTTTATTGGTTAACCTTGTTATGAAGTGTTTATTATATGATTTTAAATATTTTAGTGCCTAACACTCCATACAGTAGTTTTCTGACTTAAATAGAAGCGATCTTACCACTGCGTTCGGCCAATCCAAGCTTTCCCGATGAGGCAAAGTCAGACAAATATTTTGGTACAATAAGAATTCTTCTGGACAAACTTCACCATCTGAAACAAAGGTAGATATCCTTGGCTAATTATGATTTCTTTTCAAAACATACAGACGTGTGCCATAATTTAACGGCAAAAATCCAAGATGGCGTCGCTCAAGCGTGAAGCGTAATGTAAACAAGTTTGGCTTTCCAGAAAGCCATAAATGTCATCTCTTTGGCTTCATGAATGTCACAGAATAAACAGTGGAATGTTACATTATTTTTTCAGCTATTACATGCAGTAGTATCGCTTTTGAAAAAAAAAAGGGGGGGGGGAGTAATCGACGACTTATCTGAACAATCTTTGACAAGGGGAAAAAGGGGCTGTCCAAACTCAACATTTTCATTTCTTGAAAGGGGGGATTACAACTTTTCCAACAAACATATTTTATATTATAATACATTCCCATGGGATGATTTGACGTACCATACTGCAACAAAAGATGGAAGACTGGGCAAGGACGCGCCTTTGAATGAATATTTTTAATGTTTGGGAAAAACATGGAAGGGGGACACTCTCCTGTTGCTACAAGCCTATATTATTTTACTTGTTGTAAATATGCTTTATTCATTATGAATATTTTTTGTACAATGTCTGTAAAAAAAATCTAACCACTGAGAAATATTCGTAAAAATCGGATATAAAACAATTGTTCCGTATGAAGATGGATAAAACCTTAGCGTTTCTTTTGACTTTAGTTTGTAGTTGCCTACTACAACAGCAAAGCAGTTTTAAAGCGCTAACTTAAATTAATCCGAACCTCAATTATAATTTCCAAAGATTTTCCTTATTTTAAAAGTATCCTCTGAAGTAACTTGGCTATCGAGCCACTGGGAATATCAAGGAAAACATTGAGACACTCCTGCATCATATCCTTCTGCTGCCAATATGCAGATTCATGTGTTAATGCTATATTATGTATATATAATATAACTACATGTACACGTATACGCTTGTCGGAAAATAGCATGCATAGAAAGGTTATAAAATTGAAAAGTTACCATTTAAAATTAAGTATTGGCACACTGAAGAGAACCTCAATCTACCAACATCGATTTTATACGCTGTTTCACGAGACACGCATTTTATAATTTTGGCTTTATTTCAAGAATACGAGGAGTGATTTTTTTTTTTTTTTTTTTACTTTTTTCCATTAACAAAAAAATGCAAGTTAGAATTGCATAAAGAATTAAATTGATAAGTTGCTTTATTTATTAATCCTTAAAAAATCTGAGCCAGGTAAAGAAAATTGTGTTTTTCCTAAAACTTTTCCGCAGGAGTAATTTTAAAGAAAAAAAGAATAGTGAAGTCATCCAAGAAAATACTCATAATGATTCTTTACTATTTTTATTCCAATGCCTGCAGCACTGAGCTACTTAAATCAGAGACATTTATGTTTCTGCTTAAATTGTGCTTTTAGGTAAAATTTCTATTCTTCGAAATTTATTTTTTTGAATAAGTTCCGTTTTATTTTTCATATACGGCAGTAAGTACATATAAAAGTTAAGTTTTTGCCATTATATATATGCATTTAACGTGAATGTTTTCACTGTTTTCTTTCGTCAGTAAATCTTGGATCCACGCCTTGGCTGATACATTTAATATGCCATGTTTTGTGTATTTTGATCCCCGCGCGCTGACCATCGTTTCTGCTTCTGCCAAGTATTGCCCACAATCAACAAGCTGATTATTATGGCAAATTTGGTGCGCATGATATGACCAAAAATTAAAACTTTAAAAGGTTAATATTAATAATATTTCTTACTTATGGTTAGATTAGACCTAAAGGTGTCAGGTGTATTCGCCGAGTCTATCTTTGATGGTAGATCGATGGTCCAAGGGAAATAGGAAAACTTTTAACGCAATAACCTAGATACAATGTTTATGTGTATTTTGAAGACCACCACCCCAGCAATCCAACCTCTATTATCCTAATGAACCCTGTGTAGTTTTACTTTAAGATTAATAAGGCAGAACGCTCAATTTTGTTTACATCTCTATATTTAGAAGTCGTGTCATCGTCAGGTCATTTGCCAGACCACCAGCTTATCGATGGCAGCTTACACTAGGACTTCGCTTCCGGAAAACGAACTTAATGTGTCATCTCCCGAGGGAGATGACAACAAGCTCGGTTTCCATTATATTCTTGGGGAAAACACATATCTATTTTTAGCTCCTGGTTATTCTTACATCCGTTTTTAAATTCAAACCGGATGTTTGGTTGTCGTCTGCATCTGGAAATTTCTACATAGTGTATTTAATCATGGCTGAAAACCGTAAACATTTGTCAAATGACATTAAAAATGTCATCGTAGATATGCGAGAAAAGGGATATAAGTTACAACAGATTGCTGATGATTTGAACATTCCCAGAGGAACTGTTACAGGAGTTATCTCTCGTTTTAAACAAAGAGGTGTAGTAGAGAATTTGCCTCAAACTGGGCGTCCGCGTTTACTGTCAGTGAGGGATAGTCGTTCGCTTGTTCGGCTTGCTAGGACTAACAGGAAAACTCCACTGAAAGAAATTACCACCCAGTTTAATACCTTTAGACCTCGGGAAGTGTCTAAAAGAACTGTCCAAAGATTCTTTACCGGGAAGGTTACCATGGACGCATAGTAAAAAAGAAAGTCCGTGTGAAAGAGGTGAATTGTAAAAAGCGGTTAGCATGGTGTCGAGGAAAACTTTATTGGCGCGTGAATGGTTAGTGGGACAGAGTAATTTTCTCTGATGAAAGTCAATTTGTTTTGGGTCAAAACAACAGGTTCTATATATGGCGCCGAAAGGATGAAGCGGAGTCCCCCGATTGTGTCTGCCCCCCGTCCCAACGAAGAATATCTGTTATGATTTGGGGATGTATAACATATTACGGTGTGGGTACAATAACAACCATAAATGGAACTGTGAATAGATACAAGTATATAGATATCCTTGAGGACAACTTGTGGCCCGTTATAGCTACACATTTTCCGAACCAAAACTTTTTATTTCAAGACGATAATGCCCCGATCCACCGAGCCCAAGATGTCGAAAATTACAAAGCAAGGAACAATATTAATTGTATCAGCTGGCCTGCACAGTCACCTGATTTAAATATTATTGAGAATGTGTGGCTAAAACTTAAACAGAGACTGCAACATCGTGTGGAAAATATCACTACCCCCGATGAACTTTCCAGGGCTAACGTAGACATATGGCAAAATCTCCCTTTGGAATATATACAGGGGCTATATAATTCCCTGCCGAGACGCATGAGGAAAGTTTTGAGGGTCAAAGGTGAAATGACAAAATATTAAACATCGGTAAGTTATTTTTTTTTTACTTATTTTATGTTTATTGTTTACATTACGACACGTCTGTTGCAAATACATGTATGTCCTTTAATGGGAGTATGCTGAAATGGTGATGGAATCATTTAAAACACAAACTTGGATATATTCTTTGATGTGTGAATTTAATATCGATTAGTAAACATTATTCAGGAGGAATACATGTTCAAAAGTTTATAAGTAGAGTATATGACCATAAATGAGTCATTATTTTATAATTTAATTACGTATATTATTTAATTACGAATATATCATTGAAAAACCAACTTTTATAAAAAAAAAAATTATTGAGGTCAATTTTGGCCCCATTTCCACATTTTCCTCCTTTACTTGTGCAAGTTGTTTATTTTTCCCCCTAAGATACTAAGCAAACTTTGAATCATGAATCAATAAAATTAATTTATGAAATCATAAAGTAGAAATTTCTTACCTAAAATACTGTCATTTCTAAGCATATTTCAATTTTGCATTTGACGTGTGATAGCACTACAACTTCTACAGATAAAATTATTTTGAAATTATATATAGAAATTTTAAATAATTCTGCATATTATGTTACATGTTTTAGACTGATTTTTTTCCATCTTATTTTATAGATTGATACGTACACAGAAGATTCATTTGGATATTTAGCAAACTACTTAGTTTAGTGCAACGTTCTGAAATCACTATCTAAAGTATTATTACATGTATAACTACGGATGGCAACGGTTATCGGACTAATCGGTCGAAAAGATCAAAATCAGTAACATTTTTCATAACTGGTTAGTTGATAATTTTTGCAGCATTTTGAACTTTTTTATTTTTTTCTTTTAAAATTAAAACTCTAGTGTGTTTAAATGTGAAGTGTTACAATCGACCATTAGAATAATTTACATTACGCCCCTGCTGTTAAAACAAGCATAAATAATTTAGCATATGGGGTTTATGTTTTTCAATTGATTCGATACTCAAGAGCATGCTCTACGTACGAACAATTTCTAAAACGAGGCAATCTATTGACAAACAAGTTGATGAAATAAACATATCAATATTCTCGTTTAAAGTCATCATTTGGCAAGTTTTATGGTCGATACATTGACCTTATCAGGCAAATACAGTAACATTAAATCAAATGCTGATTGATGTTTTTCATACCAATGGTAAGGCCATTATTTACACACTGAATCGTCTAAAGATTTTACCGGGTTTTTTTCCCGATCATAACAAGGAGCACACGGCGGCTGTGACCGGTCGGCAGAAAGATTTTCTGCTGGATAAGTTGCGAAGTCTCTAGTCATCATCAGTGGTTGATAAAATAATTATTCAAAAAATAAAAATAACAGAGGAGAGGCAAAATTGATGTGAATGGTATAACTCTGATAGCTAAATAAACGTTCATTTTAGTATATTTTTCTACTTTGAATACCATAGTTAAGATTTTTTAACATTGATTTTAATTATAAATCATATATTAATTATATTACTATGCATCCTCACAACGCCTGGGTTTTGTGTCAACTAGTATCCGTCAGACCCTGACAAATTCCATTCTGTTTAATTCTTGTTTGCTTCTCTCATTGAGAGGAACCAATCAAATTGAAAATTTAATAGATAATGTAAACAGAAATGAAACAGTTGAAACCTAAAATGCTACGCATTGTTTATCACCGAAATGTTTCATGTGTGCTCGGTTGAGAGATAAGAAAAATGATCAAGATTTGTAATTTTCCCGAAAGACGTCGCTGCAGTCAGCCCGTAAGACATAGAATAAAATTTGTCAGGGGTCCCATGACAACGAGTTGACACAGGATCCCTGACGTTGTGAAGACGATTACAAAGAAGTCTGTTCTGTTCGATTAACCGGTTACTCGGTCGGAAAAATTTACGACTAATTTAAAATTGTTAAATATATTTTTCCGATTGCCATCCCTATCTGTAACGGTTTCTTTCAATAAGGTACATGTATATGAATTACACACTTGTACAGGTGTGTGCATATGGTATGTTAAAATTTTAAATTGGAGAGGTTGCAGTAAGTACATTTTAAAACGCTAATTAAGTGAATGATTTTACGGAGTGATCGCCACATTAGTATTTTACATTCGCAGGTCATTTTGTACAAATTTACAAATCTTAATTGTACTCACCACTTTGAACTAAATGGAACAAAATACAAGAGAATGAAAATGAAAGAATAATATTAATCCCGTCTGACAAAAAATTCCCTCTTAATTTTGTTTTCTCCATTTTTGGTTTTAATCCTTGCACAAGCTCAGCGTATTTATGTGCATTTTCAAGGTTATTTCTTATCATCTAACACTGTCCTCGGCCGCCTAGGTTAGTGTGTTAGGGTTAATATTCGCGTACTGTAATGTATAATCTTATTGTCACTTTGTACATGTATATAATTTTATCATTTTATGAAAAGGTGCATTTAAAAATCGGAGCTACATGTACTATGTTATATTCAATGTAATCCCATCTTAAGAACATTTCGAGAATGTATTTACTTTTAACGATTTGCGATAGACCGGAATTCCAGCGATGGAGTTGTTGTGCCTCCACATGCCAAATTATTGCATGTATTTTCAGCGTTATGAAATCCACGTGCTGTCAGAAAAGTGATGCTGCAATTTTCCTCTGTGTATAGTTGACTATAAAAATATACTACTAGCTTCAGATCATAATCTCACTGGACCGAAAATATTGAATACGTTTTTTTTTTTTTTACATTCATACATTTTTTTAAATTCAGCACATAAAAATGAAGATTTCATTTCGGTATTTTTGAAATATCACTCTAATATATTGTTCACCGTCTTTCTGATATATTTTTTGATTATCTTTATTACACAAAATTCCATAATTTTTTTTCATCGCTCAAAAATTGAAATCATTGAAAGGGGGGGGGGGGTTTCAATTCAAAAATTTCAATCCGTTGTGATCAGTGATTGTGTGCCATGAGTTGTACACTTTTACAAGATGAAACTTAAACTTTCTGGTCGTCCATCTCATTTTTCCAACCAATGACTGGGGGATATGTGTTGCAATCAAGTATTACAGTCAAACAGAGAATTTGCAAAAGTAAAAAAAAAAGTATTTGAAAACATTAAGTGGCATCTGCATACCAGTAACCTTACTATTGGGGAAAAACCTCAAAAGATATGATATCAGGTGGAAACATAAAATCACGGATTTATTAGCCATTTCTTTCGATCTGACAGATAAAGTTCCGGCTTTCCTCGCAGTCTTCGTCCGTCCATTGGTAGGAGCGGGAGCTGTCCATGAGGATACAGTGTTGTTTATTGTAGAGATTGTCTGGTTCACCTGATGCCCAATTCGTGTAATCAAACGCGGTCTCATCTGGGAGCCACATCCACTGTTGTTCTAAGGCCAAATCGGAACCCGCCAACCAAAACTGCCCAGGCATGTATGTACCTTATGGTATGTGGGGGAAAAGTAGTTTAAATGGTTACATACACATGTGTATGCTGTCTGAATTAACACTTTTTTGACAATATTTTATCTGAAATCGATTTAAAAAATATATATCTGGACTTTTTTTTTTTACCTCTTTCAAACTTCCACTTTCCTGTAGCGCCAAACCCTGTTGCCACAGCAACGAAGTTGACGTCATGAGGTGCTGTGTCGTTCCAGATGAGAAATCTGTTTTTGCCAATATCATGACCTTTTCCGACTTTTATGACATTATTGGTCCAGCTGATCCAAAAGGGGAGATACTGTGTACAATTTACTGGGTGATTTTGGTG